TTATCAATAGTTGAATATTTGATTTTCTCAATGAGATTACGAGATCTTGAATAAAAGAGATTACATATCTTAGTCAAAATGTATGTTAGTAAACTTCTCAAATCCCTCATTTAATGTCTTTCATCAATAATAAATGATAAATTTCTATTGTTCAATGCTCTTCACGATCTTCCTACCGAGAAGATATCTATAATAACATATTCATTGCTTTATTTTTTTTTTCATTAGCCTCAATTATTATTCTTCTTCTCTTCACTACATTGAATACTCATATAGTTACAAGGACTATTTCAAATCCGCCATTTAATACTTATAAAAACTTACAGATTTTATACGTCGCCACACTCACTTGTCCTTGTTCAACTCAAACAATCTCGTATCGTTCATTCGTTTTATTATCTTCAACCTTTCATCAAGTATGTTCAAGTATTTTTATCAGTGATGCTTGGATTTCGTTATGGGATTCACACGTAATTCTGGAGCTTCATAATGATTGGCGATTGCAGGCTTCGTCACAGTTTCAATTGTTGTCCAATCTTTGCCAACTAGCTAATAAAACGATTCATGATGCTATTGACCGCTTTTTGACGGAGTTCTTTATCGCTTCAACTGTGTTCGATCAAAATGATTTCAATAATCAACTAAATATAACACTTGAGCAGTTGTATCAATCGACAATTTTTTACTTTACTCTTCAGAACGACATTGTGCGTCTTTTTACACAGATCGATCAGCCTTATATGAGACCAACTGTGCATCATGAGCTTGTCTATGTTTATAATTTAATCATGAACGACATAAGAAATGAAAAGAGCAATCAACATTCAGTACCGGTATGTTAATATTCAAAATAATAAAATGTTCTATTGCCTTTTATGAATGATAGTATATCATCGAACATAATAACAGAAGCAAGCAAAATTGAGCACAGTTAAAACATGAGGGTGTAGGTGGGTGTGGGTGAATCTTACTACGGTAACAAAGACTTAAACCGACACCCACACCCACTCTTGACATTTGTAGCTTACCTATAATATCTACCAAAATGGACATAGTTTCTAGCAGGCCGCTGTTCTAGAATATATTCATCTATACATTGTATGTAATCGTTAATATACTTTTCAGAATTTTTTTAGACGAAAAATGTTCTTATGGATTTTTTTCTTGGAAAGCTTTTCATTATTAAAATAGAAGAATAGTAATCACTCAATATTGATTGATAATATAACATGAATTTTTCTTTATTTTTCTAGTTATCATTTATTTTGCATGAAATCAAACAAATAAATTCAACATCGATCAGCTGTATCTGTGCCACTAATCCTGATTGTCAAACTGAAGCCGTCATTTACGGCAATAACCCTAGTATTATTTCTTATGATGACACTAATGTTATTTATAAAATACCAGGTTTTATCAGAGGCTGTCTTAATAGTGACTCACTTATACAATCGACTCTGCAATGTCTATATTCAGAATTAAATTCAGATTGTTTTGCAAGACTACTGATTTATACATCATTGTTCAACCCGACATTTGAACCAAATAGATCCGCGCTTGATCTACATGCTCTTGTTTATGATCCAACACGGAATCGTTTTCCTCCAAATACTTTAATATCAATTATCTTTAAAGAAATGATGCTGGAACAATGGAATTCATCTTGGTCGTATGAACGGTTTTACGAATCATGTGCACCAAAGTATTGTACTTATCATCAGAAAATTCGTTCAAAGACTATTGTGGATATACTTATAACGTTGTTGTCCACGATCGGTGGTCTTGCTGTTTCTCTACGTTTTATCACTCCTTATTTTGTCAAATTGCTCTTCAAATTATGGGCAATGATACGTAAAAGAAAACAAAAACAACAAGAACAACAAGAACAACAAGGTAATCATTGATCAGATATCTATAAAAAATAAATACGAAGTGAATATATTTATATAGCTACGATTTATGTTTTATGTGATATAGTTTGTGTCAAATGAGGAGAAAAGTAAGAAGAGATATATCTTGAGATTGTTAGGAAATCGAAAAGAATTTAAATTTGTTTCAGCCATCTGTTTTGGTTGAGAAATATTAAAGTGTATAATTTGTTTTTGTATGTATAGTTCATCGAAATTGGTGCAAACGATTCAGAATGATCTTGCAAAGCCTGATCAAATTTTTGCGTACCACTTTTATGGGCCTGAATATATTCTCATTGCATGATATGGGTAGTAGCATGGATCTGATAACAGCTAAACGCCTTGGTCAATGGGCAACCCGTCTTTACATTGCTTTATTTATTAGTGGTCTCAGTATTCTCACTATCTATACTATAGTTCAACCACATGTAGTGACAAAAACTTTTGATACATCATCTTTTAGTATTTACAATAATTTACAACAGAAATATGGAGATGAATTAAAATGTCCATGTTCAGTGATTGCATCGATTTTAGATCAATTTGTCAAAATTGAACCAATATTTCATGAAGTAAGATAAGATTATACTAATCTGCTAAATATAAACGATAATCGATATAGTGGCGGTTTTTCTCTTCGTCTCTATTGTTTATTTTGTGAGAATTTTGTTGTGAACGCTTTATATGGAAATTGAGAATGAAGTTTTCCTTCTTTTTATTTCTTTTGTTATTGATAGATTTGTTCGAGTCCATTTGCAACAAAACAATACCGAAATGATCTTATAGCTGGTCTTATGTCTAACTTGTCGATTTATGTAACAAGAGACTATCGTCGTTTTCTTTCTGCTCATTTACAAGCTCTTCAAGGATTATGTCAAGTCTCTAATACAGCAGTATACGATTCTATTAACCAGTTTCGTACTTCACTGTTTGTTACTTCTCAACTTCTATCTGAAAAAAAATTTGGTGATCAACTTAATTCGTTAATCGAACAAACTAAATCAAATGCTCCTACTACATTCCGTCGATATCTCTTCTTAATTCGAAATATCAATCATGGAAATGCTTACATGTCAACATATGGAACAAATTTCGAATATATTGGTGATCCGAATGCATCTAAATATACATATGCATCTACTCGAGCTATAATATATGATGGATGTTCTTGTGGAATGTATCTAAATTGTACAAGTCAAGCAAATTTTATCGAATCAAATTCATCTAAACTGTTTCCAGTCAAAGGCTTGAAAATAGGTTGTACTCCAAGCGAATCATTTCGTGCTTCGACTCTTGAATGTTTTTATGATCGTTCATGTATTGATCTCATTCATCAATATACTAATTATACGAGATCTCATAATCCTGTCTTGAACATGACGAGTCGTTTCTCAATAAACACTACAATAGCTAAGCTTATCGATAATCTATTCATAGAAAGATGGGCGACAAAGATGAATTATTCATCTTATTTTCATGCATGTGCTCCATTGTATTGTTCATATACTTATATTCAAAAAAAAAGCAGCTTTATCTATACAATAACTGTCTTACTTGGTCTTCAAGGTGGTTTATCAATTGTTCTTAAATGGTTTTGTCCTAAAATAGTTCGAATCGCATCTAAAGTGAATGATTATCGAAAAAAACGAATGAATACGATTTATCCTGTCAATTCTCTTGAAATTACACCGAATGTTACTCTTAGCACAACCATACATAATCCTGCATGTAATTTAGAATCAAGATCAACACCTACAACATCTCGGTATGTTTTTCTTTCTGTTGTGTTCATTCAAATTGTAATCTAAAATATCTCTTTATTAGAACAATTGCTACTACATCAATTCAATGTTCTTGGAAGGTCCTCTTCAGATGTCTACTATTGATGTCGATCATAGCAGTTCTAACTATTTTTTCATTTTATGTCGCACGAGAAGGTAAGAATGGGATTCCCTCAACAAGGGTGGATCAGAGTGTGGATGTGATTTATCAAAGAAAAATCAACCACAACCTCAAGATATAAACTGTACTTTTATATGTCATTTTCCGTTGAATTTTCTTCATATTTCACCAATTAAAGTTTTTAAAAGAATACTTATGAAATATGTTTTTACTAGTTCCGTCGACCAGTACGACAAATGATACTACTAATTCGAACTCAACAATAAACACAACAACATCAACATTAACAAGCACAACAGGTCAGTGAATTAAAGTAGAAAATTGACGGACTTCAGTTCTTATAGTTTGATTATACAAGAAAAGAAGTTATTGCTCCAAAACTCAGTGGGTATCTTTCAGCTATAGAGTCACCTAGAATCACTCGAATTTTCTAACTAATGTGGACAACACTATATGTTTTGTCTCTATAATGAGTAAACGACACTGTTTCTTAAATCTGTTGACGAATTAAATTTTAACAAGGATTTTCACTTCGATTAGAAAAACAAAAGATCGTATTTTTTCCGGCTGATCATACAGTTTGGAGAAATTCTCTTCTATATTTTGACTTGAAAATGTAATAGCTGTTTTAATATTAGCTTACATAAATCTATTTCCAGATACTTTTAATCTAAATATACAGACGAGTAATTCATCATTTTCTTTTCATTAGTGCCATGTTCCAAGTTAAACTTTCAACTAACATCAATAAATATATCTGATGTTCCACTTTATGTACGATCATTTGCTGTTGCTGACTTCAACAATGATAGTCGACTTGATATTGTAGTTTTTTCTAACTATGACGAAAGTGTGATTATACTGCGTGGAAATGAGAACGTAACTTTTACAGCAGAAAATATTTTTCCAAAAAAACGTTTTGGCTATGTGAACATTATGAAAGTTGGTGATTTCAATAATGATAATCGAGCCGATCTCGTATTTACCTATATAAATTTAGACTATATAAACATTCTATTTGGAAATGGGAACGGAACGTTTAGAATAGTGGATAAAAAATTAGAGACAAGAGATTGTACACCCAACGATATCGCTGTAGCTGACTTCAATCATGACAATTATTCTGATATTGTTTTCATTGATACTTCCTTTTCTAACGTTTGTGTACTTCTTGGAAATGCCAACGACACTTTTTCGGTGCAGCTGATGTTTTCCACTGGACAGTATAGTAAACCTGAGTCAGTAACTGTCAGTGACTTTAATAGTGATGGACACGTAGATATTGCTGTCGCTAATAGTAGAGCGCTGAATGTTGGCATATTTCTTGAATGCGGCAATGGAACTTTTGAAATACAAAAGCGATCTTTTACTTTCATGGGTTTTTATCCAAACCATATTGTTAGCGGTGATTTTGACGGTGATACTCAACAAGACGTCGTTATCGCTCAGGACTTCACACGTCTAGTCGCTGTATTGTCTAAATATAGAAATGGATTTTTCACCGTCAAAGAGAAATTTATTATAAAATCTGACAACATAAAACGTATGGTTGTAGGTGATTTTAACTGTGATGATCATTTAGACATTGCTGTCATGGGTGTGTCATATGGTACAGATATGCTTGTTGGATATGGAGACGGTCATTTTGAGACGCAAAGCAATTTCTCGGATAAACTGATCAGTTATGGATTTAATACTGGTGTTTATGATTTTAATGATGATACTTATCAAGACATAATCATTGCAAATCCTGAGTCTAGTTCTATAGATATTCTTTTAAACATGTGCGAATGTTGTGCACGTAGAATTCCTAAAAGAAAAATGTCTAACCTCTCATAATTTTTATCTTATCTCAAATTATTGTGCTTAGTAAATTTTACCATTTGTATTTTCATAAATATTGTAGAGAAAAATCAGCAGATTGAAGAAGCTTGTAATTTACGAAGTTCTCTTGAATATTTCTATGTTTTTATTTTGTTGTTTACTGCTTTAGTATGCCTCATCTGTTATTCTATTACTTACTGATCAATATTTCAAATTACATTGTAATTATTAAATTTATTTTTAACTCTGTAAATCTAAATATTTATATCAATTTACTATAATTATGATTTATTCAGATACTTTCTAGTAACGTGTGGATATTAATGCTGAGATGAATTTTAGTATTGTATCCATTCAACATTCACATCCACACCCATCTTCGACATGGGTAAACAAGACCATCGTTTTACTCATTACAAATCTCATAGTCATCAAGTATCAGACAATTCGTTTTCATCATATTTGTTCATTCAAACTTTACTAATTGCTGCTCCCTCATGGAACATTTCGAACAGAACCAAAATATTTTTATAAAATCATTTGAATTATTTTCTATTGTTAAATATTGAATTTCAATTGAATATTGATTCATTTCATTTTATTGTTATCTTTAAATAAAAATTATTTAATAATTTGTTGAATAAGGATGTGGGTGTGGGTATGGATGAGATAAATAAGATATACCAACACTCACACTCACACCCTCAAGGTTTTAATGTATACTTATTGTTCTAGGTCAAATAATAAAATATATCGTACGAAGTCCAAAGATAATAATTATTGTGTGAAATGAAATTCAAGGTTTATTCTCTTATCAATTAATATATATTGAAATGAATAAAATAAAATGAAATTAAATACATTCATGTATGATAAGATAAGAATGAAAAGTATTAAAAAAAAATCATATATGCATTTTTTGATTCTTGATTTCTTATAGAACAAATAAATAATTTCGTGAATTAGATATGAATTTCTATCAATTCAATAACTTTATATTGATTTTTATTGTTTAAATTAGTTAAAAAATTTTTATTAGTTAACATCATACTTATGTATATATTTTAAATTGAATTTTGTTCAGTTAAAACAATTGTTGTGTTCTAAAAAAAATATATATTTGATTTGTTTATCTTTTTAGATAAATAATGTATAAAACAATTGGAATATTATTATTAATTGTTATAATTAAAGATGGCTATTGTTTAGGAACAAATCGTACTTATCTTATAAAAAGAGATCTTTTAAGTGGTCTTAAAGGTGGAGAATTTACAGTCTATGATAACCAAGGAAAAATTACTTTATTTCGAATGGAATCAAAATTCGCTATACTACATAATATTAGAATATTTAAAGGTTTAAACAAAAAACAAAATCCTATAGCTTTATTAAAAGCTAAATTAAGTTTTGTTCTATACAAAGGAACAATTGCGATTTTTAATAAAAATTCTAATGAATGGATAAATGGAACAATTGAACAAAATTTTAAAATTGTTGGAAATAAATTTACTATTAAGTACAATAATACTGAAGTTTCAATGGAAGGAAAAGCTGCATCATTAGATACAACATTTATCGATCAATCAAATAAACAAGTTTTAGCTAAATTTCATAAAAGAGTTTCTTCATTATTTTGGAGAAATAAATATGATTTACAAGTTTTATCCGACAAACTTCCCGACCAAGTTTATTTCTTAGGTATTGCTGCAAGAGATATTAATAATAACAGAATTCAGACTGGTTAACTTTATTTATGTTGAACATTAGATTTTAACACAAATTTATCTTATTATTCATAGATCATTTACTTATTTTCTTTATTAATCAAAAAAATTTCTTAATCATTTTAAAATAAAAATCTTAATATTTTCTTATGTATTTTCGACTTCAGGCATATTCACAGTTTAGAAATCAAGTTAATATATTTATTGGTTTTTATTCATGTTGAAAAACTGTCATTGAATTTAAGTGAGACATCTTTCGACAAAACGAAACAGTAGTTATAAAGAAAACTTCAAAACGATTCTGTTGTTATATTTATTATTCAAATGACTGGATAAAGAAAAACAATCATTTTTCTAAGTACCGGATGTGGGTATGAGTATTATTTCTATCTCACATTCACATCCACACCCACACTCAAAATTTTTGTATCAAGCTTTACAAATATAGATGAAAGATAAAAAACATTCTGTGTGAATTGTTATTCACATTCTTGTAGAGAAGAGTCATGCAAACATAAATTGTCTGCTTGCTTGCTTGTGGGTCCGTTCTTCGCCGATTGATCCAAACACTGGGTAAAGATATAAAAGGAATTTTCTTTTTATAAGGGTTGACCGAAGGCTAATCGGTGTCGAAGAACTCGAATTTGTTGTTAGCTTTTATAAAAAATTTTAAGGATCATATTTTCACACACAGAAGAGCAGTCATCCTATTCCGGAAAGTTACACATTCCGGACTCGCTTGGCTCACCCAACTTAACATAATTCAATTCCGGAATTCATTGCATTCGATTCCTGCCTATTCCGGAATTCCTTACATTCGATTCTTGCCTATTCCGGAATTCCTTGCATTCGATTCCTACCTATTCCGGAATTCCTGCACATTTCTACCAATTTCGGAATGACTTGATCAATTGATATTTATGTAAGCCTGGACATGATGACAAATACGGTATTCCGGAATTCGTGCATTTCCCGGAATTCCTGCACAACCTACCAATTCCGGAATGGCTTGATCTATTGATATTTACGTAAAGCTTAACATAGAGACCTTTCGTCGGTATGCAAGCACAATAGTGTGGGTGCGCGGGAGGCTCGGTCCGTGAAGAAGTACGCAATAGGCAGGAATTCCTGCCCATTCCTACCGATTCCGGAAAAGCCGGAATGTGCACGAATTCCGGAATTTCGCTACGGAATCGATTCGATTATTCAGGAGGATCATTTCTACATCAAGCATATCTTTCGTAATTCCGGAATTGGCAGGAATAGCATTAATCTGATGGAAGGAATTCCGAAATTGGCAGGAATCGAATTCGATCCGTTCCGGAAAAGGCAGGAATGGTATGCAAGGAATTCCGGAATTGAATGATGTGAAATTGGGTGGGTGCAGCGATTCCGAAATGTGTAACTTTTGGGAATAGGAAGCATTCTCACACAGAACTACTTTTTTTACAAAAAAAACCTTTTTTACGAGAGTTATCGAGATCGAGCAACTCAAATCTGAAGCCGGTTTTTTGAAGTTGTTTGATTAAATAGTTTGCTGGCAGTGAAGACATACCGTTTCTACGAGAAAGAGCTGAGCGAGTCTCCAGACGGGTGTTACTTGTTTTTTTATGCTTAGAAATACAACAGATAGTTTACTGAAAACTCCACAACATTTATCACGATTAGAAATAGAAGGCGAGATTATACATATGATTGAAAATATCATAGCACTAAAAAATGATGATGATACTTATGTTTTGCATAATTCTGTTGCTTATTGTTATTTGGATCTGCTTTTTCTAAAGTAAATTTAAAAATCCTTGTTCACTTTAGTTTATTCTATTTGAACTGTAAATTTAGGATGAATTGCCCTAATCAAAGCATTTGCAATTATATTGATCACAACATGAAATATGTTATTCTGTCATTTTTTGGACTATGCCATTTCAAGGAAGGTAAGAATATTGTTTTTTTTTCAATTTCTGAGTAAAAGTGTGTTTTAGATAAGTGGAATAATGTATTTGCACGCTATTCTAAACACAATGTTGTACTGTACATAGAACTTTGGGATTAAATCTATTTTACACTTTTCATTTTTATTATCTTTGGAATCAGATATGCGTCGTGCCTTACGTCACTCACGTTTAGTTAGGATAGAAAAGATTGGTCTCGACTTTGAAATGTACGTATTCTTTTCAAATTAATTTATTACATATTTATTTCTGTTGTTATTAGTCAACATCGACCAGATGATGATATTCAAATAAAAACCTTCGGTACACAACTTCGTATAGCAAAGGAATATATTGAACAGATTTATACAAAAAACTAATTCATGAGTCTTCGGATACGTAATGTGTCATAACTTTGACAAACACCAAATTTCTTTTCATAAATATATAAATGAAAGGTCTAATTTATTCTTCATATAAATAGGAATTGAACAATGATCATCCCATGCACGAAGGAGAAGAGTTGTCGACGTTGGTATCAGAAATGAATAATATATATTATGGATGTTCGCTTCAAATATCTTCCAACAAACAAATGCAACCGAATATTGAGAAGATTTTGATCAATCGTATACTACCATAAAAGAAGTAATTATATATTGAAATTTTGAAACCATCTATATTCTCTAATATTTAACATTTTCTTTCTAAGTATCCACATGTATATGTGACGCATCCATTGTTTGTTATTCAAGTATATAAATATATTGCACATCAATTTAAATTAAATATTCGAAAAACAGTCGTCTAAGCCGTGCAAAATGTAAAAACTTTCTATAGACTTAATTGAATAATTAGATTTATTGACTTTTTCCTGTTTTTTTTGTCTTTTGTTACATTGCCTTTTTTTCAAAAAAAATTTTTTCTTTGTTGTGTGTATTTTCATGAATACTTTGAACTACGAATAAATATTGTAAAACTAAACGAAAGAAAAATAAGACAATATTTTATTATTGAATAAGAAAATTTATTGCCGAAGACATACAACACGAGTAACTGCCTAGTTCAACTTCAAATATGAATCACACATAGATACACATACCTACGCTAGTCTACGAAATTAGAAATAGTTATTCTCTAGTTATATATATTTTTTTTAATAAAAATAAAATGATCTACAAGAAAATTTATAAATTTAAAAACAAAATATTAGAATGAATTCTTTGTCGAATCTGTAAAGACAAAGTAGATGTCGTAAATCATATATTGTTGAAAGAAACTGCTTATTATACGTTTATTAAGAGGTAAATATCCCTTATATAATCACAAATATGTTGCTATGACGAAAATGTTCGGATTACTGGTAGTCTTAATCTACTACAGCAGTATTCTTTTTTAAAATGCATTAAAAATAGATACACTAGTGAGTAATATTATCACCTACAAAATTAAAGTAGATAACTTAATATTAAGGAGAAAATCATTTTAAAGTTATTTATTAGTCTTTATGAATAATATCATATAAGAACGCATGTACCAATTTATTTTTCACTATTCATTGAAGTAATTATTTGATAATAATTTCTTCCAGATTATATTCAATAAGACAAAATTATTAGTACAACAATGTGCTTTATTGGAAATATTAATCCATTTAGATTTTATTTGAATTAATAGTTTTACTAAGCATATAAGATTTCATATAGATTTGAATGTTTTGATTACAAGAAACTGTTAACTTTGTTATTGATTTCAATTTATTTTAGCATCAAATATTCGAATAAATTTAATTTATAAAAATCTTTTCTTTTGAATATACAACATATTTTATTAATAAATAAATATAATTGTAGAATTATATTTAAATCTTTGAATTATGAGAATAGATTTTGAATTTCATTTAAATAATTATCTAAACATAAATTTAAGATAATTTTATGAGAATTTTTTTATATAAAAAAGCATTAACTAATATAAATTGAAACTATTGAAATATATATAAATTAACATTCATTATGATTATTATTAATAGTTATATAATATAAGAAAATATTCTTTTGAAAAATTCTAAATTAATCAGTCACTTGCAGTATTTTTATCTGAAATGGATAATAGAATGTGCAGCGTAGACGGCGATTATAAATATTTGTTGATTTTCTTTTATTCGGTTCTGCTCGCTTTCATTCATGCTTCATTAGTTTTATATTCTTTTTCGTATCATTTTTATCACAGTTTGCGCACTGCAATTATATTACATCAATAATGCACATGGTTTTGCGAAAGTAAATACATTAATATAATGTGAAATATATGTATCGATTTTTAAATTAAACCAAAAAAAAACGTCGATTTCTACATCGGCAAGATACTGGAAAAGTTAAATGATTCTACACGAACGATCAATTTTTGTTTTTTTATTAGAGATGATTTCAATTATAATATCATTCTATGATTTGTTTCTGAAAATGTACTGAGTTGTGTGAGAATTTATTAGTATTAGTTATTTCATTTATTTACTTGTATACTATACATGATTGATTCTCAATCTTGTCTTAATATTAATGGTACAAATATGAGAAAAAGGCACAAAGAAGACGCAGTGGGTATTTTTGCAAGATATCTTAATAAAAAATAGTAACAAATTTCCTATTAAATGTGTCTTCGGTAGTAACTGAAATCCTCTCGATTCAGATAAAGAAAATAGTATATGATTCCTCATTTTTCTAATCAACTTAATTTAATTTATGTACAAATTAGTTTTATTTTATTTATGATTTGTTGAACACTATTGCAAATGTATAAAAAGGCGAAGAAAATTGAAAGAGCTCAGGTTGAATTAATTTACAAACGATAGTAAACTCATGATATTCGCGAGGTAATATATAAAAAATAGATGTGGCAGAAGAAATTGCCAACTCTTGATAGGTTCGCTTCTCAAAGTGGACTGAACGAGAAAACTGCATTCTGACGTTAGAAGATACAATTTTTAGTACAATTTCTAGTTGTATTCTGCTTTAAATCAGCATGGTTTGTCTATTTGTAACATGAAAATTATTATGTACTACAAAAACACTATGTTTAGAATGATGTATAATGAAATCAAAATTTTAATCGGCTAAACAGGACTTCCAGATCAATTACAATTAATTTATAATCAGTCATAATCAAAACTATCGATTTAATTATTATGAAATAAAATCAGAATTATAAATGATTAGAACTACAAATTGGTAATTTCAATCATCTATAATCCTACTTCAGTTGCATGTTCAAGTCGAAAAGTATGTTGAGAAAATAATCCGTTCCGGCGATTCCATGACACCAGTATTCTAGCCAGATATTTTTCAAATTTCTCCATGGCTACCACTCGATCTAGGTAATAGTTGGCTTTATAATTTGCTTTAATTTCTAGAGGATTTCACAATTTTGATCGATTTCAACCGAGCAAACTTTTTATTGGGCAGTATAAAAGTCTAATAAATCTTGTATAGCCAACATTTAATTTTAATTCAAGATCATCTATTCAGTTTTATTCAGACTTTAATTATTTAGGATATGATGTCTTAAGCGAACAAGAAAATCATGTTAATATTCTTTCGAAAATAAGTAATTCTTAACTTATATACTATCGCCTAAAATTCAACAAACAGCTCATCTGACATAGTACTAAACCAAAACAAAAGTCTGATCAATAGACTTATATCTTATATATAAATAAATTTCAAATCCAGACATTATAAATCGTAAAAATGTTACTTAAGACAACTGTTGCTTTCTAATTATATTAAAATAAATTATAAAATGTTTCGCCTATATCTGTCGGAAAATAGCCATTTTGAGGAGTTTTATAATCGTAACATACGATAGTTGCTCAAAAAAGTAAAAACAAACATCGTCCAATTACAAACCTCCACATCATATTATGTTTATCAATTTTCTTAATGTAAGAGAATCGATTGATTACTCACATTTTGCTTATCTACCTATACTGAATATAAGCGATATACATTATATACATAAAAGAAAAAGAAAAATATGCATTATCGTTTCTATTTTGTTGCTTGCTTGTTTTTTTCATGATATAAAAGAAGAAAAAGACAAAACGAAAAACAAACATCGTCTATATCATTAATGTAAGAGAACTGATCAATTACTCACATTTCGATTATCTACCTACAGTGAATACAAGCGATATGCTTCATATACACGAAAGAAAAAGAAAAATACGCATTATCGCTTCTATTTCGTTGCCTGCTTGTTTTTTTAATGAGAAAAAAAAGAAAAAGACAATATGAAAAATAAACATCGTCCAAATTTAAGCTCACACATCATATTATCTTCGTCTATTTTATTAATGAAAGAGAACTGATCAATTACTCATATTTTGCTTATCTACCTACACTGAATATAATCAATAAGCCTTACACACATTAATTAAAAACGACAGTTTATGTTTTCGCTCATGACTAGTTCTTGTTTTTTTCATGACATAAAACAAAAATGGATAAAATAAAAGTGCATTTCATGCCTCAATAAATCGTATGTACAAAAAATATTAAAGCGTCTCCTCTTCACATATTCGTTTAGTTATTTATTTTCGTTTATATACACAACACGTATATTTGATTATTCCTCTTCAATTTCTATCCCGTTTGAATATTATTTCACGGTAATTATTTTCATACTTTTTGTATTTAGTTTATACCAGTCACATAATATTATTCATATTGAGAATTGTTGCTCTATTTATAAGTACTACAATTATATAAATAGTTATTGAGATTTTTCTAAATGATCAGATTTATCTGATGACTCGCCCGCTACTTTTTAATAGGGTTGAGCCTGATGCGGTATTAAGTAAGACTCAGTACCCTGTATAACTGGGTTCTTAAGAAAGTTGGCCTCTCGATTGTGACTAGTATTGAGCGTGATTGGGTATTAAGTGAGATTGTCCACCATCTGTGAGTGTGCTCTTAGTGAAACTGGTCTCTGTGTTATAACTAATACCTAGAATTGTTACATTTTAAGTCTCATTCTGTAGTCTATGTGACTGGGTTCTCAAGGAAAATGGAGTCCCCATTTTGATGAATATTCTCTGTGAAAAGCTATGTAATCGGATTTTGTTCAATATCTGACCATCTTGACGGTGAATGTGGGTTTGAGTGTGGATACTGTATTCACCTAGCATCCGCACTCACCCCTAGAATTTTGCTTATAACCAGAAACTTGTAAACCGCAAGTCTCAAGCAAACTTCTCTACATAACATAATTTACATATAGAAATTCATTTTAGATTTTCCTTTATTTCAAGACAACACACATTCAATTGAGTCAAAGCTATGGCTCATGTAAGGCTAAAACGTACAAAGTGAGTTTTGAGTGTCTCTAATGAGCCTTATCATCTTTTTATTAATTGTATAGGCCTTCTAAACTTTGGTTTTCTGTATTGATACTGACTACTATCACATGGACAACTATTACATCGCTTATTCCATTCTATGTATCAAAAAGCGACTTTAGCATCACCAACATCAACAACAGCGCTTCCGTCATAACATTACAGGACGCTAGTAAGTGTTCATTTATTGTTTTTAGCCTGCACATGCATTGTCTTTATTAGAAAAATCACTTACTTCGTTAAGTGTCTCTTATATGTTACCAGCTGGATTAACAAAAAAACGCGCCACGCAATCCGTCACCAACCGACAAACAACTGCATCTTGCGTAATTTTTATCTTTGATGTTAATTCATAATGTTTAATATATTTTAGCTGACACAAGCACTCGGTGCTGCCAAAGGTTCCATCAACGTCACCGGTATTGGCAGTGCAGCAGCAACTACTACCAAAGGTCGACGTCGCCGTCGCGAGTAATTTTCTTTTTAATTCATTTCTACTAGTTATATTTACCTATGACTATACATATAGCGTTCAATGCGACAAAACAGATCGTCCAGGAGTTGCTATCATCCTTGACGTAGGATTGGATTATCCATCAACTTTACCATGCCAAAAGTTGTCCTGTCAAGTCGATACGTTTACTGATATCCACCAAAAATTCAATAGTGTCACCGATGTTAGTCTCACCGCAGACGATGGAAGCACCTTGTCTGTACAGCTATGCCACGTGGAATCTCATACTGATGGCATAAATAACGATCCTCAAGGTTCCAATGGTGTTGTTATCCGTGAGTTGTTTGTTTCTTTTATGACTTATCTAGGAGCACAGATACATTCCTATCCGAACTAGAATTTAGATTGAATAGATTCCGGTTCAAGTCGAATTTCAGAAACAAATATAACTTATGTATGTAAGTCTATTCTTTTTCAGAGCCTTGTACAGTCGTTTGCCAGAACGGTGGTGAATGCACAGGTCCCACAACTTGTGGATGCACCACAGGATGAACTGGGGACACATGCGAAACTGGTAACTTAAATTCAGAGTTTAGTTGATTCTAATAATGTCTATTTGTTTTCTTTCAGCTGTATGCACAAATGGCTGCGACAATGGTGGCACATGTACAGCTCCTGATACATGCATATGCGCAACTGGTTGGAGTGGTGCAACGTGTACAAACGGTCAGTAAAATTTAAATTTGAGATCTTTTCCAATCATTTCTTTTCTTGAGGATTAGGATGTAAGGATGTAAATGAGAATGTGCAATTGTATTCGTTTGCATGTAAGATTGAGAGATGAAATCATGGTGGTGATTTGAGTGAATCTTTCGGTAACACTATATTCTTAACCCTCGCCATATGTTCAGTCTGGACAGTCTCACATTCCCTGGCTCAGATATAGTTTGGCGGACATACTCACTCTTATCCACTTGGTTCTACTAAGCAATAATTCATTGAAATAAATGATTTAGTTTAACATCTTATTTATTTAATCAGCTAAATAAGTGTTTTCTATTACAGTCTAATAACTTTCTCTTCATAGTTTGGAAAGTGAATAAGCGCTCACTCACCTGCTCCTTCAAGACTCAACTATAAAAAACGAATAAATATGTTGTAAAGAATAAGAACATTTATTAATCATATCTATCCGAATTAATGACACAATATAAAATATTATTATCGACATATTATGTAAATTTTTATAAATGAGATGAATATTGTCTTGAGAGAAGAGACTCATTTGCTTAGATATTTTATAGAAAATTATATATTCGATTAAAAATTTCTGGAAGAATCTATTTGTTATCGTATTAATTATAACAATAAATTACTTTACTATATTTTTGATTGACGACTAATAATAGTTATTTCATAAGTTTTATTAATTGTAAAAGCTATCATTTTCTCTAAAACTTCGATAGAATGATATCATTTGAGTCAATTTACCAAATTCAAAAAAGATTTCAGCACTGAATTCATACTGTGTCAACTAATTTGTTTCAGTTGTTGCAGTAGACACATAATTATACACAAATATAGTACAAAAGAGGAGAGACAAAGAAATCCATACGATTTTATTTAAAGTCAGATACATTGCTAATTGATAGAGAAGTGGTAAACTATGAAGAATATGTCGTTCAATCTTTCTGTTTCATATAGAACCGACAACGTCAACAACAACGACAACGACAACCACAACCACGAAAGCAACAACGAAAACAATCACGAAGACAACTACGAAAGCAACAACAAAAACAACCACAAAAGCAACTACGAAGACAACCACCAAAGCAACAACGAAAACAACAACAACGGAATCCACAATCACAACAGAGACAACGACCACTAGCGAAACGACAACAACTACGACTACTACTACTACCACAACAATTACAACAACAACTACAACTACCACGACAACTGCGACTACTGCTATAACAACAACTACAACTACGACTACTACCACCACAACAAAAATAACTAGCACAACTACAACTACCACAACTACAACTACGACTACTACTATAACAACGACAACTACAACAACTTCGACTACAACAACAACTACGACAACCACTACTACAACTACCACGACAAGTACTACCACAACATCAACAACAACTACGTCTGCTACGATAACAATAACAACTACCACAACCACTACAACAATAACGACTACAACTACAACTACAACAACAACAACAACAACCACCACATCGACAATAACTACCACATCGACAACAACGACAACGACAACGACTACAACAACCACGTCGACAACAACTATCACATCGACAATAACGACAACGACTATAACAATCACATCGACAACAACGACAACAACAACTACGACAACAACTATCACCACCACCACCACCACAACCACCACAACAATAACAACGACTACAACTACGACTACCGCAACAACAACAACAACAACAACAACAACAACAACAACAACAACAACTACAACTACAACAACAACTACGACAACTACAACAACTACTACTATACGTGAGTGAAAATAGGATGCTTTATAGTTAAGTTGACGATGACTTTTTCGAATCGTTCCATCGAGAAGATTTGTCAGTGGTTGATGACTTTTTCCCATCTAGTGAAGCCAGTTAAGTAGGCAATTTCTTTTTGAGGTTATTCTCAGTCAAAGTGTTGATATTCTGATGTGAGTAATGGTAAGACAATGATTGACCATATTGAATCGGCTTGGCTTACGTTTGACATTGAGTTTAGTTTGAAATCTGTAAAAAAAACACGATTTTGACAGAATAGATCTCAATGATAACTTTTTATTATTATTTAGCAGCCCTTGAAATATAACGATAATAGTAGGCAAAAGTGAATATGGTGGAAGAACGTTGATCTTTTTCGGAAAAGGTTTACAGATAATTAATTCAGACGTTGAATCAAAGAACAATCACATGTCTTATTCAACGTTCCAAGTTGGAAAAGGCTAACTTGCATGAGATGAAATGTATGTAACATGAAACATTGACCGATGAATTCCTAAGAGCAAGATAAAAGTTGTTTTTATTGAGAAATAGAATTTTTTATTTTATTGAATCACAAGAGTGTAGGTGAGTGTGGGTCTAGGTAGAATGCGATGTACCCACACACACGTCCTCCATGTAGAAGACATAGACCTCATTCATTTTTGATACATTTGTTTTAGCTGTGTGTTCCCCAACCTGTCAAAATGGCGGTACATGTTCGGCAACGAATACATGCACAGTAAGATCATCAATTCTTATGATTAAATTTTACCCTAATTTCTATTCTTTAGTGCACTACAAACTATACCGGTTCGATTTGTCAAACACGTAAGTAATGTTTTTTTTCGTCAGTAACACTGAATCATCGATAACACTCTGATAGACGCTCAGAATTCTAATCATAAAGTAAATATTTTCGATATACACCTGTTTTTCAAGAATATTAGTCTTTATACACAGTTTTACAGAAGTATTGTTTTCACCATATTATGGTGTACTGCCAAAACTTTGAGTTAGCTGCCTATTTTTTTCTACATGTCTTTCTCTTCTACAAGGTGGTGAGCTTACGACCTGAGTATTTCTTTTCATGAATAGATTTTCATAGATCATGAGTCTGAGAAGTGCTCCGAAAGTAGTATGGAAATATGGTTACTGTTCAGATCATCGAAAAGCGTAATATCTAAAATTGTACTTCTTTTAGCTGTGTGCACATCGTCATGCCAAAATGGAGGAACATGTGTGGCTCCAAATACATGCTTGGTGAGCTCTCAAATACAAATTGTGAAAACTGAAACTGTATTTTTTTGTCTTTAGTGTACTTCAAGTTACACTGATTCGGTGTGCGGAACTCGTAAGTAATATTTCACGTCGTTGATTGACACTATCTTTAGAATACAAAAATACTCTATGTAGAAAAGAAAGAATTCATTCCTTTTTTGTTACATTTATTTTAGCTGTGTGTTCTCCAACCTGTCAGAACGGTGGTACATGTTCAGCACCAAATACATGCACCGTAAGTTGATCATTTATTGTGATAAAAATCTTACACTAATTTCTATTGTTTAGTGCACTGCGACATATACTGGTTCGGTTTGTCACACACGTGAGTAATGTTTCATTTCATCATCAGATACAATCGCTGATGACAGTCCGAGAGACACTCAGAATTTCTTCTTTAAAGTGCTGATACTATTGATGTTCGCTCTATACTATTTTCGAAATACATCTAAGTTTGAGGAATACTAGCTTTTATACGGTACTCTCGAGAATTTGTAGTTGTGTGCTCTATTGTGTTGTGCTGCAAAAACTTTTGGATTAGCTTGCTGTTTTTATTCTACCTGTCTCTCTCTCTCTCTTTCATAAGGAGATAAGCTCACGACTTTACTATTTCTTGGTAAGCAGATTTTATAGATCATGAGTTTGTGAAGTTCTTCAAAAGCAGTAGGGAGATATAGGTACTGTTTGAATCATCCAAAAGTGTGATATCTAAAATTATATTTTTTAGCTGTGTGCACATCGTCCTGTGAAAATGGAGGAACATGTGTGGCTCCGAATACATGCCTGGTGAGTTCTTAAATGGAAGTTGTGAAAACTTAGACTTTCTCTTTTTTTTGTTAGTGTACTTCAAGTTACACTGGCTCCATATGTCAAACACGTAAGTAATGTTTTACATCTTTGACAAACAATATAAATGCAACCGTGGAGGGAGCAAACAGATATGTTGATAGAAAATCTATTATTTTTCTTTTAGCTGCATGCTCACCGTCCTGTGAAAATGGAGGAACATGTGTGGGTCCAAATACATGCTTGGTGAGTTCTTAAATGAAAGTTGTGAAAACTGAGACTATGAATTTTTTTCGTAGTGTACGTCGAGTTACAGTGGCTCCATATGCGCAACACGTAAGTAATGTTTTACATCTTTGATAAATAGTATCATTGCAACCGTCGAGAGAGCAAAGAGATATGGTGATAGAAAAAAACGATTGCTTTTCTTTTAGCTGTGTGCTCACCGTCCTGTGAAAATGGAGGAACATGTGTAGCTCCAAATGCATGCTTGGTGAGTTCTTGAATAAAAGTTATGAAAACTTAGACTATGTATTTTTTTTTAGTGTACTTCAAGCTACACTGATTCCATATGTGCAACACGTAAGTAATGTTTTATATCGTTGATAATCAATATTAATGCAATACTGAAAATAAAAAAGGGATTTCATGTTTGCAACGAATTTGAAACCGTATTTTGGTATCGTACAAATAAGGTTCCGCAGAGCGCTAGTTTTCATTTGAACAATAAAAGCATTTAGTACACAGAGTTCCGTATAGAACTAATTTTTTTTGGCTACAAAGCGGGTTCCGTATCACGTTCGACGGAATTCTACTCCAACCATGTGTATTCTATCAACAAGTTTTTTCTTAAGTTGACTATGCGTATGCCTATTACCTTAGACCTGTTTCTAATAACTAATTCCTATATATAATCCTGGATTTTTATTTCTAACCGATTATGGGCACAGCTGAGCTTCTACAGTCTACGACAAAAGTTTAAGCGAATTCGTTTTTTTCGCATTTTTTTGCATATTTATTTTTTTAATTTTTTCCTGATATTAACGAGTATCGGTTTGATTCAAACGGTGGTCTAAGTAGTACGAGAGACCCACTATATGATGTACTGGAAGCAGTTCTTCCCTTTGTCTTTATAGGCTATTCATAGTGAAAAAGATTTTTTTCATCATAAAATAGATTTTTTAGCCTTTTAGTATTTCGCATTTCCTAACCAAGAAATTTTTTCAAAAAAAATTAAAAAATATACCAATCGATAGAGCTTGAAATTCTCTATCGATTGCTAAAAAAAGATTTTTCCCTAGGTTGTACTATCATTTCATAAATGTGATTTTATTGACAAAACCGGAATAATAGGCACTATTTTTCACATGAAATTTGACAAACAATAAAAATGTATTTTTGCTACTCAAAAGTTTAGTTGCTGGAAAATAGTCTTTAAGCAGATTATAATTAAAGTTAAATACCACTATTTAGTTCAGTTTTGCATGCTCTTTTCAGTGATGTATAATATATCTCGATAAAAAAAAGTATACAACAGCAGATTTAACCTGCCACTGTGTTTCTTGTTTTGTCAATAAAATCACATTTATGAAATGATAGTACAACCTAGGGAAAAATCTTTTTTTAGCAATCGATAGAGAATTTCAAGCTCTATCGATTGGTATATTTTTTAATTTTTTTTGAAAAAATTTCTTGGTTAGGAAATGCGAAATACTAAAAGGCTAAAAAATCTATTTTATGATGAAAAAAATCTTTTTCACTATGAATAGCCTATAAAGACAAAGGGAAGAACTGCTTCCAGTACATCATATAGTGGGTCTCTCGTACTACTTAGACCACCGTTTGAATCAAACCGATACTCGTTAATATCAGGAAAAAATTAAAAAAATAAATATGCAAAAAAATGCGAAAAAAACGAATTCGCTTAAACTTTTGTCGTAGACTGTACATATACATATGTTTCTATGTCCTTAGATGTATAACTAAGCTCTTATATCTATTTTCTATGCTCTTACATCTATATGTACACCTTATTTCTATAACGGTTCCCTTATATCTATATCTGATCTGTTATTGACAACTATTATTATCCCTTGTTTCTATAAATGCTCTCTTGTTTTAATAACTAATGTGTTAAAATAAAATTAAGCTCCTAAACTAATGTGGTGTCCAGATAGATAAGATAACACGCAATAGGATTATACGAAAGATCAAGATTTATTTTATCAGATAATTGTTTTATTATAGGAAAAAGCCTATGATTTAAACCGTCAGTTTTTTAAAATGATGCGTACTGCAAAAAGTATAATAGAACTTATAGGTGTAGTAGCTGATGAAAAATGTACAAGGAAACATGTTGCATGATTAGGGACTATGCTTCTTCGAGTGAAGTATTAAAGGTTTTTACCTAGTTCATGAACTTCTGTTTTTTTTTCTCGAAAAAAGCCGCTTTGTCAGCATATGAGTTCGAAATATAGTAATAAAAATGTCCGAACTGAATTTTGAAATTCATGAAAAACAGAAAACGAACGGAAAAATCTAGACTAGTGCACATTCTGATTCGTATAAATGTCTTCCTCTCGTTAATGATAGGGAAAAAGAGAGAGTCCAGCACGAAACCTCAAAGATCTAGCTTAACACCATTTTTTTCCATTGTAGGACAACCACAGTCCATGCCAGATGGATGTACTAACACTCAAACCTACCCTCTTTAAAATGTTAGCATTATTAACGTTCACTCTCTGATATTTCCGATATACAGCTGAGTTTGAAAACTAATACTCTTTACACGGGACTCTCGAGAATTTATAGTTATGCACCCGATTGCCCTTAACGATAGAAACGTTTGGCTAGCTGTCTGTTTTTGTTCTACTTGTCTTTCTCTTATAGAAGGAGGTAAGCTCGCGATTTGAGTATTTCTTTTGATGAGCCAAGTTTAATAGATCATGAGTTTGAGAAGTCCTTCAAAAATAGTATGGAAATATACGTACTGCTCGAATCATGGAAAATTTTAATATCTAAAATTGTATTTCTTTTAGCGGTGTGCTCACCATCCTGTGAAAATGGAGGAACATGTGTGGCTCCAAATACATGCTTGGTAAGCTCTCGAATACAAATTGCGAAAACTGAAACTATCTATTTTTTTGTCTTTAGTGTACTTCAAGTTACACTGACTCGGTGTGCGGCACTCGTAAGTAATATTTCATGTCGTTAATTGACACTATCTTTAGAATACAAAAATACTCTCTGTAGAAGACAAAGAATTCATTCCTTTTTTGTTACATTTATTTTAGCTGTGTGTTCTCCAACCTGTCAGAACGGCGGTACATGTTCAGCATCGAATACATGCACCGTAAGTTGATCAGTTGTTGTGATAAAACCTTACATTAGTTTCTATTCTTTAGTGCACTGCGACATATACTGGTTCGATTTGTCAAACACGTGAGTAATATTTCATTTCATGAGCAGATAGAATCGCTGATGACGTTATGAGAAACGCTCAGACTTCCCTCTTTAAAATGATAACTTTGTTGAAGTACACTCTTTGATATTTCTGATATACATCTGAGTTTGAAGAATGCTAGTCTTTGTACAGTACTCTACGGAATTTGTAGTTTTGTGTAGTATTGTACTGTACTTCAGAAACTTTTGATTCACCGGCTGTTCTTGTTCTATACGTCTTTCTCTTCTACAAGGCGGTGAGCTCACAACTTGTGTATTTTTTTGATGAGCAAAGTTCAATAGGTCATGAGTTTGAGAAGTGCTTAAAAAACAGTAGTGGAATATAGGTAGTATTCGAATCATCAAAAAGTGTAATATCTAAAATTATATTTTTTTTAGCTGTATGCACATCGTCATGCCAAAATGGAGGAACATGTGTGGCTCCAAATACATGCTTGGTGAGCTCTCGGATACAAGTTGTAAAAACTGAAACATTTTATTTTTTTGTCTTTAGTGTACTTCAAGTTACACTGACTCAGTGTGCGGAACTCGTAAGTAATATTTCATGTCGTTGATTGACACTATCTTTAGAATACAAAAATACTCTATGTAGAAGACAAAGAATTCATTCCTTTTTTGTTACATTTATTTTAGCTGTGTGTTCTCCAACCTGTCAGAACGGTGGTACATGTTCAGCACCAAATACATGCACTGTATGTTCTCAAATTGTTTGTATACAACCTTGAACTCTTTTTAATATTTTTAGTGTACTACAGGCTATCAGGGTTCTGTTTGTCAAACACGTGAGTAATGTTTCTTACGATAATTGTGTTATATTCGAAGTTGAAAATATGAAAGAAAGTCAAGATTTTTTGGCTTAAGTTACGTCAACTATTTTTGTTCACTCTATGAGATTTACAAAATGTACATATTAGCTCCTGAGAGTAGCGCTTTTATGTATTAGCCTACGGAAGGGTGTACTTTCTATGCTTTATACTAAGATCGAGAAGTATGAGCGAATTGCCGTCAGAAATATATGAAATAACTATTGCATGAGGATTCATTGACCTGCGTGATACACTGCATCAGTACATTTTAGTTTTTTATCTTCAACTCAATTTTTTCCTTGTGCGTTCGTGTTGGTGTGAGTGTGGGTGCGGATGTGGATGTGTGACATTTGTAGCCAACCCATACATACCCGCACACCCCACACCCACACCCTACAGCAGCCAATTTAGATAATTCGAAAACTTCCAATACTAAAACTATAAGAAACATAAAATCGTTGGTCAGGATTTTTTTACTAGAGATCTAATCAAAGAAAAGATTGTGGAAGTATAATTATCAGGTAAACCCTTTAAAGATTTACTCTTCTATCATAATGCACTCACATTTATAGCAGTTATAATAATTAGAGAAGAAAAAAATAGGATATTAGGGGTAAACCCATAACTAATCATTTAGTCTCATTCTAAATTTCCCTTTGCAAAATAGAAACGACAACAACAACGACAACAACTACAACTACAACGACGACGACAACAACCACAACAACCACAACAGTAACAACAACTGGTAAGTGGGATGTCAGCTATTTTGTAATAGTTTCTTAACCAATGATTATCCTGAATAAGATATGCGAGTAGACCATCTAGATAACCACTCTATCACAATTTTTATCTCGCTCAATTCTGTAGAACCCGTAACTTAAAACGAAAATCTTATAGTATTGTGATCAAACAGAGAGCATCATGCATAGTCACGTAATAAATAATTTCGAGCATTATAGTTGGGATAAAAATTCTTTTTATTTTTATAAAATAATCTGTCTATAAAAATTCTTTTTTCGCAGAGTTTTACAAGAATATATGAATAGAAATTGGACATCATGATTTGTCCATTTAGTTGATGGGATAGTCACAAAAATCGAAAATGATTGATAAAAGTTTCAATATTTTCTTTTGGTTTCTCTTTCCATTATCTAATATATTACATGGTCAAAATAGATAGCAATATAGAAAAAAAATCAAAAACTCTATTCCATGTTCATAAGTCTTTTCTAAAAGATACAACAATAGATATAGTTCTCTATCATGATAGAATATTTTAATATTTCTTCGTAATATAGTCAGAATATGTAAGTTTAATAAATAGTATTTTCATTATAATGTTTGTGCCATTTAAACTAACTTCATATCATTAAGTTCATTTTATTCATGTTTTTGAGTATTATAATTGCGTTAAATGAACAAAATATATTTTGTGTTTGACAGCTTGTGGCAGCACGTTTCTCACACCAGTGATTTATACAGCTACTTACAATCTGTACGCAATGGCAATGGCTGATATGAATGGTGATAATAAACTGGATATTGTTGTTGTAAATAACGATGGGACCAGCGTTGGTATTCTTCTGGGCGTGGGCGATGGTACATTTGGTTCTCAGACTACTTATCCAACTGGTGACTCTCCAACTCAAGTAGTAATAGCTGATGTGAATGGTGACAATCATCCGGATTTAGTTGTTCCAAATTCCTCTGTAAATAACATTAGTGTTCTTCTCAATTCAGGCAGTGGTACATTTCTTCCTCAAGTTTCTTATGCAGTTGGTGGTAATGGTCCACAGTCAGTAGCGGTGATCGATGTGAATGGTGATAATAATCCAGATATTATTGTCGCAGTTTCCGGTGCGAGTACGGTTGCTGTTCTTCTCAATTCGGGTAGTGGTACATTTCCTTCTTTGGCTTCTTATACAACTGTTAACGCTGCGTATTTCGTAGTGGCAGCTGATCTGAATAATGACAATTATCCAGATATAGTTGTCGCACTTTATAGTGCGACCATCATTGGCGTTCTTCTCAACGCAGGTGATGGCACGTTTCTTGCTATAACAACTTATACAACTAGTAACGGTCCATGGAGAATAGCATTAGTTGATGTGAATATTGATACTAAACCCGATATTGTTGTTGCAAACAGAGATTCGAGCAATGTTGGCGTTTTTCTCAATGCAGGCAGTGGCATATTTTCTGGTCAAATTACTTATACAACTGGTTCTAGTAGCTTTCCGGACGCACTAGCAGTAGCTGATATTGATAGTGATAATTTACCAGATATTGTTGTTGGACTCCAGTCTAGCGGCCAAATTGGTATTCTTCTCAATGCAGGCAGTGGCACATTTGGTGCTGTAACAGCTTATGCAGCTGGCGTTAGTCCAGAAGGAATGGCAGTAGCTGATGTAAACGGTGACAGTAAACTGGATGTTATTGCTTCAGGGAACAACGTGAACTCAGTTAGCGTTATCCTACATTGCTAAAATCTACTGATAAACTGAACTTAATTTGTTATTTGACATTATACTCCTATACTAAGGATATTATTCTTATGAAACATTGAACGATACGGACGACTAATTTTATTTGATTTCATGCTTTTTAATAAAATTTTCTCAATTCTAGAAAAAGATACTAATTAGTTTTCTAGCAGATTTCAACTAAGAAAGTTTTGAATAGAACAGAAAATGGTCGTATAGAAAATTGATCAAATACATTCTGTTATAATAAAAATAAATCGAGAGATGTTCAAGTGATTCAAGAATTTCTTGCCATAATCTTGTTATTAAAATGAAAATATTTTCCGATATTTTATATAACAAATTTATTTCGATTGAAGAAACGAGAACACAAGTAGGAGTGAGCTCATTTCCAGTTAGATAACAATAACAATTTCATTGCTTTTTACGCCACAATCTGCTCTATTATTTGATAAAGAGGTTTTTTATTCGCCCATTGAATTACTTTTAAAGGAAGGGATAATGATTTGATGCAGACGAAGATTTGTTTTGATTTAATGTTTTTTGTAAAATAAAATTTTTCCCAAATATAAATAATCTTTTATTTTTATCCTTTCTTTAAAGCCTAATGCATTCGTGTTAATATTTATAAGACTTAACCAAAATATAATTAAATAGACGAAAATTTGTATTTATCTCGATATTTTGCTATTTAATATTGATGTTTTATTAAGATAAAACAGAATTAAACGTGTCTTCTTCGGTAATTGAAACAACACAAGACTAATTACTTCAAGCTTTAACAGCTGAATACATTTGAGTATCTACACTAGTCGACGATCTTGCCCCATTCTTTCTAGGTTCTTGCTTTTCTTGATTTTCAGGCAAGATTCTTCCCTGAAAAATTCCTTACATACAAGATTCTTGTAGATCGAATCTTGCCTGATGATGCAAGAAATTCTTCTCCAGACAAGATTCTTGTTCTTTTGTTTTCTTGAATTCTTGTCTGATTCTGGTCATATTAAAAAAGCCTTTTCTAGGTTATTACCACTTTTTGTTTATAGCGTTTTATCAGAAGCTTTTCACACCATGTACAAAAAAATACTCTAATATTTCACGTATTCATGAAGTAGTTTCAATTTTTAACATGAAAAGCAATACAAAAATCCTTCTTTTATTTATTTTTTTGAAATTTGACCTGTACGAAAAGGACTATCAAACAAGAATTTTTTAAAAAGATCAACATTTTCTTTATCCATTATGTGTAATACTTTTATAGATAGTGGAAAAAATCTAGAAGTACGAATTTGAAATACATCGAAATGTGCTCAATAAGAATTGTTTTCAGGAAACAATGAAAAATGGATATCATATATTCCATTGTTTTCTTGATGTGAAATAAACTTTTACTATTCATCCAATTAAAATAATAACTTACTAGATGTCGTTTAAATTAAATAAACGCTTTAGAAAAAGAAAATAATCTAAGTAAATTTGAACTATACTTATCGAGTCAGTAACGGCTATGATTAAATAACATTTAGATAATGCTTTTATATATGTGATAAACAAAGATCACATCACGTGCCGTTCATCTTGGAAAGCTGGCAAGAATCTGTTTTCTTTTCTATTATAAGAATCTTGTCTGAATAGTAAGAAATTTAAAATATTTTATGTTTCTTTCCGGCTTCTTTTTCTTCATGATATTCAGACAAGATTCTTTTTATCTTGAACTTTAGCCAAGATTCTTTTTAACAGAAAAGAAAAACAAGAACCTAGCAAGAATAGGGCAAGATCTGCCACTGGTGTGGGAACAAAATGCCATCAGTGTGGCTGGCAGAAATGGAGAAGGACAGAAACTAAATCAGCTCAATCGTCCCTTTGGAATCGTTATTGATAAAAAGAAGAATATTTTCATTGCTGATTTCGGGAATCATCGTATTGTTGAATGGAAATGTAATGCGAAGGAAGGACAAATCATTGGCGATGAAAATGCCAGAGGAGATCGAATGGATCAATTGAATTATGCAACAGATGTAATTGTTGATTAACAAACTCTCATTGAGAATATTGCTTGTTTTGGCTTGACAGTAGATAAAAATGGATTTCTTTATGTTTCTGATTGTGAGAAAAATGAAGTGAGACGATGGAAAATAGGAGAATACAATGAAAGAATTGTAATAGCAGGTGGAAATGGACAACAGAAACAACTCAATCATCCTACTTGTATCTTTGTTGATGAAGATCTGTCTATATATGTATCAGATAGAGACAATCATCGCGTGATGAAATGGTAAAGGAGAAAGTCTCAATCAATTGTCTTCGCCTGTAGGAATAATTGATGATCATTTGGGTCAAATCTATGTGGCAGATCGTGGAAATCATCAGGTATTGCGTTAGTGGAAACGGAAGAGGAAATCAATTGAATGGTCCCTAAGATTTATCTTTCGATAACGGAGGAAATCTTTATGATGTTGATTGTTGGAATCATCGAATTGAATTAAATAAAAATCGCACGAAAAGAAGATGTTGTTTTTGAGAAAAAAATATTACAAAATTAAATGTAAATGATAATACTTTCAAGACAAGTAATCGACATTGTTTCTTTTGTATATTTTGAACTCAGAAATTAATTTTAAAATTTTGATTGAACAAACAAGCGTCTATGATTTGTAAGAATTTGATTCTTGTTGTTAATACGATGATGTTTTCTTATTTCTTTGAATGGTTGTTCTATTGTAGTTTCATATATATGATGATCTTTAGATATTGACGATTTATTTTTTTGTTTATGAAAGAAACGTTTTTGTATTAGGTGAATTAATGGAAGAATTGCAAGTTTAAATCCAATAAATAAAAGTCCAACTAAATCCAAACATAACACTAAAATATAAATTATCTTTTTAATATTTTCTATGTCAATTGCATACGAATAACTTACTGAAAAAAAGAATTGTATTAAAAGTAATTTCATATGTTCGAGCAATAGGTTCTTGCGTATTCTTCACATAAAATTCTGATTCTGTTATATCCATAACTAATGTCATGTGTGAACGTACATAACGATAAAACTCTCCTTTCTCCGAAAATAATAAATCATCTGTTAAAGTATTCATTGCAAGAGTAGGTAACCAAAGTCCTGTATACGTCACTTCATCAAGTAATGTCATACTAGCTGTGCGATTGATGACTTTTGTCATTTTAACATTGATTACTGGATTTGATGTTAAAGTTTTATTTGGAGTAAAAAATGATTGACAATAATCTAATTGTTGTGCTGTATACGTACCATTGTCAATAATAACAGATGGTGCTGAAAAACAAATACGAAGTGCACCAACAAAATAGGGTCCAAGTATATCAAAATGCATTGTAATAACATGCTGTGGTAAAATAAATGAAACATAAATTATACTGTTATTTGTCGAACAATTCAAATTTTTTAATGTAATGCTTAAACCATGAGCTCTTTTCAATTGTATTGCTAGATCATCACACCCAAATCCTGTACTAATAAATTCAGCAGTTAAAGTAATATTTTGTTCATCAAGTAAAGTAAATATTGTTTTTTCTTTATATGTATGTGTTGAAAGTAATTGTAATGAACTGGTTAATTTAGCATTGAATAATATACCATCACATGAAACACTTAATCGTTCATCGGATGAAACTTGTTCAATTGGATATAGAGATGCAAATGAAATACTGAATTTACAAGCGAAAATAATTAAAACGAAAAGTGAAAGTGAAATAAGACCACCAAGCCAAAATTGTCCTTCACTTATTAGATCAATATAAACAAACAGTTTTTTAAAAACTAATGATCGATTTTTATATTTCGAACGATATAGAATAAGTTTGATCAGTATAAAAATGATTAAACATAAAATAATCGTGAAAAAACCCCAAAATATAGGTGAAATAAAAAGACATTGTATAGTTGCATCAGGAAACTTGAAAATATTTTGTAAAAGTAAATCATCAAATTGTGTTGATTCTGGTGATTCAAGATAAGGTGTCGTTTGATCATAACTTATTAATGATGTCATATCGATTTCATTTATAGCACCAAGAAAACACATAGATGTATTTTTTAAAACACATTCATCACATATTACTCCAGAACTACCATTATTTTTCGATTGTGATGGACAAATTATACAAGGTCCAAAGCTCATTTTCTCCTGATAAGTACCAGGAATACAAGATTTTGATCGATATATTATTGCATCTATTTCTGTATACTTCTCAACAATGCTACTACAATATCCTGGAGGACTTGCTGGAAGAAGAAGAACTGTCGAAGGATTAAGTACAAGACCAATCGTGTTCGGACTACATGAATGTAGACTAGTTATACTAAAAGGAGATGACATAATATGCATTTTTTGCATTGGTTGTTGATTGTTAGGAAATACAAAGATTGGTTTTGATTTAGGATCGAAATCATGAAGAGAATAAATCTATAATACAAAGTTCGATTTATAGACTGTCTTTATCAGAATATCATCTGAGATCTATTTAATTTCTTTTAAGTAAATGAATATACTTGCCTGTACTTGTGAAAGAGACCAGGGTAAAGTAGACATTGATTGAGCTAATACAGCATAGTGATTTTCATTTAATATTGCAACTGATTTACCAAATAATGCGCCATTTTGTGATGAAACAATTTCTTTCATAATAAATGGAGATTTTGATTTGTCATGAAAAGATAAAATTAAAACTGTATCCAAAAATGGCATGCCAACGATAATTATATTTGATTCTTTATCTACAGAAATTGATAGAGTTGCATATTGTTCACTATCGAATATAGAGTGAGATGCTTGTATTGCTGAAAGATTCGTCATTGATAGCCGTATTGGATCAGATATATTGGAAAGATTAGTTACATACAAATAAGGAATAAAGTCTTCAGATTCTACAGCACGATAAGCAAGTAAGAAAAGATAATGATCTTTAGTTATAGCCAGTGTTTGAGAAAAAATCCATTCGGAATCCCATAGATCATTAGTCATAAAAACTATGTGGGCATTTAAGTTGATATCTAAGCATAAAGTTTGACCCGTCTGTACAACATACACGTATAGATTTTGAGGATCTATAGCAAGAGCTAGTCTTTCCATTCTATCAACAGCTTCCAGTTGTCTCCATAAGATACCACGTGTACTAGGTGAACTATTATGATCTATAAACATTACGACCAAATAGAAACTATTCTTTGTATTTTCTACTATCATTGCGAATACTGAATAATTATTGCGTTTCTTCTCAGCTGTAACAATATTATGTATAAAGACAAAAGGATGTGATAGATTCATGCGTTGTAAGATTTGATCGTAAAACAAGTATCCCGGGCTCTCATTAAATGATAACGAATTTTTGATCACAGTAAATCTTTGTAGATTATTTTCAACGAAAATAATCATATCATCGTTTGCTGCTAATTGAGTACCCATTGTATAGTAATTTTCTTGATTGAGTATTAGTTGTTCTACTCCATGAAAATTTAGGAGTACAATTAAAATAATGAAAAAGTAATGCATATCTAAAATTTAATAAGAATGAATTATTTTTTTTATCGATTATCGTTTTATTTGAAGATGACAGTTTTCTTTATAATTGTGATCACTTCCAATAATACTCACAAAATAATCTTACTTACCTGTATCGAAATTGAAATAGATATGTTGTTTCTTTTTATATTGTCGTACATTTTTGAAGATTATCATAAATAAACCTGATATCATTTAAACTAGACAAACATATTTAGTGACGTTATTTTTTATATAATTTCTATCATATTACACTTGTTGAGATTTGTACTGTTCGTAAATTTAAAAATGCAAATGGTATTAAGTTTGCTTAACATAAGTTATTCGTAACTTGCATTTCAGTTGTTTTTACATTAATATAACACAATATTGAACTAAACAAAATTTATATGATCTGTAAATATATATATATTCAATGGTTTCAATTTTTTTACGTCAATCGATATTTGATTTATGACAATGATTTTAACTAAAATACAATCGACATCTTATTAGTAATATTTTACGTCAATGATAAAATTATCTTCATAAATATGTTCTTGTCTCAAAAATAATGTATATAAATACTTGCGGAAAAAAAATAGTTTCAGTCATTCTGATTTCTATTAGAGCGTAAAATTCTTTATCAGCCAATATATTTTTATCTTGCTTTGTGTTTGTATGTCAAATGTGCGGTATATTCATCTCTTCAATATAACTAGTTGCGTTTTATTTATGTGCATCAATTGGTAGTGGTGATTTTGTAAATGGAGAAAGACAAACATATCAGGCATTGAATTCTTCTAAACTTATTTCGAATAAAATCAGTACGATATGTATCGTGATTTGTCAGATAATATTGTTTAGAGTTAAAGTACCCGATGAGTTATCTTTCTGGCATTTATTGAAAACTATAAACTCTTAAAGTGATTATATAAAAACGAACATTTTTATCGAAGACTGACTCTTTATTCTGACTTAACATGATATGACAAATACACAATGAAAGTAGATACTTCCATTTCAAACAAACATTCCTATTTCAAGACGTTTATTATTTTTCTTTTCACATATAAGTAGTTTTTTTTTCTATTTTAAGAATGAAATCTTCTAAGGTACTTATCGAACTATACCACTCTGTCGATGATTTTTTTTGTGCAATTGTATGAATTCATTATTCACATATATGTAAATAAAAACTGTATAAGAACAAGAAATTTCTTTGTCGTTCCTTTTTTTACCTTAACAATTATCAACTTAGTTGTTATGTGTAGAAGAGAAAAGGAAAAAATGAATAATTTTTTTTTCGATTATTCAAAAAAAAAAGGTAGTAAACGCATCTCACATTCATTTCTTTTTCATTTATTCATCTGTTTGCAACAAAAATCGAATCAAAATGAGTAGTCCACACGGTACTTTAGAAGTAACTATCGTCGAAGCTCGTCATCTCAAAGATGAAGACATTGTCGGTAAAAATGATGCTTTTGTTGAAGTTTATTTGGATAAAGATTATAAACTACGAACAAAAACTATTCGAAATTCCAATGATCCAACATGGAATGAAAAATTTACTTTGTAAATCTATTTATCATAAAATTAATTTCGATTTATTCATTTTCTGTTTTTTATCTTTTATTTAAGTAATTTGAGCCGAAGTCATGAAGATTTACATATATCTGTGTATGATGATGATACAGCTGGCAAAGATTCAATTGGTTCAGCAAAGATTGATTTGAGAAAACATGACTTTACAAAAGGTCCTTATGATGAATGGATTAAACTACCAGCTTTATTGGGGCTTCGTTCGAAAGGTGAAATTCATGTTACCATTGAACATCATGTAAATAATTTTTTTGTTCTAAAATTGTATCATAATAATTGTTTTGTATTTTAGCAATAGAGAAATACAATGATCCAATAAACTTTTTAATCAAGCCCAAGAATATTATGCTTTTCTTTGACAATTTTCATTTTTAAATATTAAACGATAAAACTTGTAATTTTCTTTTTATAAATAAATCCAAATCAGATTAATCGATTGTTTTTTTATATATATACAATGAAATAAACAATTTACTATAATTTTAATATTTTTCTTTATAAATCATGTTTATTAATATGTGCAGACAAACTATAAATGAATTCGAGTGTGTTTGTATTTTAGAATATGTATTGACGTAAAAAAAATGTTGTACTGGAAACGTGACTGAATGAAAAAAATAAATTTATAAGTCAGTAGAACGGATATATAAAATATCTTAAGAATGGATGTAGATTTTCTGCCTATTTATTACTATTGAAAAAAGAAACAACGTCGAAATATATCCCATTTTTGTTTGAACATTGTAAATGAAACAACTGGCCAGAAATACTTTATATTCGTTTGATACAATTAGGCAACACCAAGATAATCAATAAAATTGACCTAAGAATAAGATGTTTATGATGAACAAATCAGCCGATTTTTCTCAAAAAGGCAGATGGGAAAGAAATGCAAGTGGAATGGGTAGAAAGATATTATGATTGTCTTTCAAATGCTATTGTCTGATACGATTACCGCTCCTTTCTCTAAAAATTCTTTTAATTTAAAAACTAAAATATATATACATGTATTGCTATTATTTATCTAGATTATATTTAACAATAGAATATCATTTGTCATTACATTTCTCTTTTCTTCTTACTTACAAGGACATTTCGAGTAATTCTCTCATTAGAAAAATACTAGATGTTTCATGATATAATTTTACTATTTATAGTCAAGGCAAACATGTGTAGAGATGTTAACGATCAAACTAATAATGTATTTTTGTTCTTTTTCGTTGTCGGATCTTTATCCATCGACTAGATATTAAAATACGAATATAACGAAAAAAAAAGAAAGCAGAGATATTAACAAAAACAAATAACAGATTGAAAGAAATCACATATTGGTTATCAATGAATAGATCACACAGAATATAAATATATATTTCAATCCTCGAGAAAAGTCAGTTTTAGAGTGTGGATGTAGTTATGGAGGAAGCATATCTTAACATGATTTTGTTGTTATGATTAAACACGAGCCACCTATGTTAGAGTCAAATTTTTGATTGGATAAATAAATAATAGTGTGTTAAGGAGAAAAGAAAAAAAATAAGGTATCATTTGGCTCGTGGTAGTAGTATTGGTTATATACATATATTCATAAGAATAATGATTCTACGTGCAAATCAACATAAAAAAATGATTTGGAAAAATGGTGGTGGAATTACTCATGAAATTGCTCGTGAACCAAATAATGATCAAGAAGAATTCGATTTTCGTTTAAGTATGGCTTCAGTTAAATATCCTGGTGGTCCTTTTTCTTTATATCAGAATATTGATCGAACTTTATGTATTATCGATGGAGAAAAAATGACACTTCAATTAAACAATAATAATGATGAATTAATATATCTTGATAAAAATTCTCCACCATATTCATTTTCTGGTGAAATTCCAATAACATGCCGGATATATGAAGATACACTTACTGATTTTAATGTTATGACTAAACGGGATAAATTTCGACATACTGTTCAACGTTTTATCTCAAATAAAGATCAAAATCCAGTAGAAATATCAAATTCTAATGGAGACATAATTTTTATTATCATTGCACAAGGATGTTTACAAATAAATGAAACAATAATGACAAAAGGTGATGCTATTAAATTTATTGATAATCAACAATTAATACAAATTTCAACTTTAAATGATAACACTATTATTTATTTAGTTAAAATTACTAAATTGTCATCTCAATAATACTATAAACAATATTGATTCGATTGACTTACATACATTTTTTTTTCATATATTAAAATAATATATAATTGTCGATGTCATTCTTTTTTTGACCATTATTTTTTGCGTTCTGTATTAGAAGAAGATTTTGGTCTATCGCCACGTTGTTAATTTCTCTTATCATTGCAAGTAAGAATGATAACGAAATGTAAAGAACGAGAAAAAAAGTGTTTGTGTATCATAATAATTCATTTATTTCATTACAACTGAAGTTGATATCAACAGCAGGTATATAACGCAAACAACTTTCTTCGTAGTTTCATGTATTATATTTAGAGAAATTGACAAACATGGTTTTCATCATTGTACTTGTTCTGTTTGCCTATGTTGCATATCGATTGTATCAACACTTTTATCCTGCACCTAATATTGATCCTCGTGGGAAATATGTTCTCATAAGTGGTTGTGATAGTGGCTTTGGAAATTCACTAGCTATTGATCTTGATAAACAAGGTTTTAATGTCTTTGCTGGTATTTACAGTGCTGATAGTAGAGCTGCATTAGCTGATCAACTTTCGGCAAGAGCAAACATCTTCATACTTGATGTAACTCAACAACGAGATATTGACGCTGCCTACGAGATGGTTAAAGAAAAGACGAACACACTTCATGCTTTAGTCAACAATGCAGGTGTTTTTACTGGTGGTCATATTGATTGGATAACGATACAATCCATGCGTGAAGTAATGAATGTAGACTTTTTCGGACATGTAGCCATGACAAAAACATTCTTACCATTACTGATTACAAAAAGAGATTCACGTGTAGTGAATGTTTGTTCAATAGCCGGCTTCATAGCTGCACCTTCCATCTCGTCTTATTGTGCTGCTAAGCATGCACTAGAATCGTTTTCCGATTGTCTTCGTCGTGAGATGCACGTTTGGGGCTTGCGTGTAAGCGTTATCGAGCCGGGTATCATGCGAACGCCCATTATTGAAAAGTATAATCAAGCTGCACACGAAATGAGTATGAAATTACCGATTGATGTTCAAGAACGATGGGGCAAAGAATTTTTCACACATCATTTTGATAAAATAAAAAACAATCCTTTGATTAAATTGGCCGAAAATCCTATTAAAGTAGTGCATGCAATGCATCATGCAGTAATAAGCACGGCTCCACATATTCGCTATCGAGTTGGCTGGCAATCAAACTTCGTCTATTTTCCTCTATCGATTATTCCTACTTGGTTGGCTGACTTATACTTTGTAAAAGTGCGTGGTTCACCTATTCTACCGGCTGGCGTAAATAAACAACTCAAGCCATAAAGTTAAATTAGTTTAACATAAACACACTGCTATTTCAAAATACATGATTAAATGAAATAAAAAAAAGCTTCTAAACATCCGTTCATTTCTGAAGATTTTCTGAAGATTGTGTAAATTTACTTTTAGGATAAAATAGGCTAATTATAGATGGATTCACTTCAATATTTGAAGCGTGAAAAACAGAAGTTGGGTGTGGGTGTGAATGCCTTTTCTTCTGAACTTCAATTACATACACACCCTATTCTTTCTTGTATACTTAGAATGATGCATCATTTTTTTCACTAACATTGTGAAATGCGTAATATGAAAATGTTATTCTTATCGTTCCATCTCATTGTTATCATATATGACGTTGTGCTTGTGTTATTGCACAAAAAGGACGTCATTACTTAGATAACTTACGTTATATTAATATCGAAATATAAAAAAATTCTTCATTTTTCTTCATCTATCACAATGTTACTTATGTTATTCATTCTTCTTTGTCAAATATTTGCGAGTCAAGCTGCTGTTCTTAATTGTAATTTTGAAACAGATTGCAATGATTTTTATTTATCTGGTTATTGGGCTAAAACAGACGGTTTCAATCCTCAACCTATTGATCATGATCATACATTAAATATAAAAGCTGGTCATTATGTTTACTACAATGCAGGACCTGGTCAAAGAGGATTCCGGATTGAAACTAAAACTTGATTACAACCTTCAACTGATCGACCATTATGTTTTCGAATGTGGTATTATTCTTCTCAAATAAAACTTCTATTTAGTGTTCAAACTGCACAAGGTGAAGGAGAAGAATTGATACGTACACTAGCTTCAGTTTTAGATAAGAATGCTTCAACTGTTGATTGGACATTAATCGATGTAAAATTACCAAATGAAAAAATCAAAATATATGTTGTAACATATGTAACACAGAAATATTTAGCATTTGATGATATTTCTGTGGATTATTGTGATGGTCAACTGCCTCCACCTCCTAAAGTTTTATATACTTGTGATTTCGAATCATCTTGCTCAAACGATTTTGTTACATTACCAGCATATCAATATAAATGGTTAATATCGAGTGCAAGTGAAGCTCGTCAAATTGAATCATCTGCTCCAATTGTTGATTATACATTTGGAAATAGTTCAGGACATTATGCATTTGTGCCAGTTTCTCATATAGTCGATAAAGGTAAAGTTGGTTATATGCATTTAGAAAAACAATTCCAAGTAACATTTCAAGAATCTTACTGTTTGAATTTTCAATATTATGCTTATCCAGCAAGTAGTAACAGCTTTTTAAGAATTTATTCATGGGCTTCAGATGGATCAAAAGCAATTGGATTTCTATGGCCTGAAGACAAATCAGGACATCACATGTAAATAATCTTTAAAAAACCAATGTAATTCAAACCTTTTTTTTTACTTTTAGAACCAGCGGTCGATGGTAAGTTGACGCTATTAAAATAGAGACTTAAACTTTCTTGCGTTTGTTTGTCTTACTAAATCGATATGATTCTTTTCTATATTAGGGGTTGGGGTATTATTAATTTACCAGTTGGTAATTATTCATTTCTTTTTCGTGTGGATACTTATGATACTTCGGCATATTCGTTTGCTCTCGATAATATTGCTATCATCTCATGTGATTATCCACCTACAACTAATTCATACAATTCTCTTCTTTCTTTCTCATGTAATTTTGATAATTTGACAATGTGTGAGATGATTAATGATAAGAACTCGACATTTAATTTCACGGCATTTACTGGTGAGACCATACCTGATCAAGAACTTGGTCCCACTCGAGATCATACACATAATTCAACATCTGCTGGTTTTCTCTACTGGAATCAAAATTTGCCAGTCAGTACAAATGATAAAGGTGGTGTATATCTATCAAAAAAAATTGAACAAAATACTAATATGTGTATTAGATTTGCTTATTATATCAAATCAAAATTAGTTAATAAAAATACAACACTAATTCGTCTATCTAGTGATGAAAGTTCTAGTAAAGTATTATGGTATCAATTATTCGATGATAGTCAAGGATGGCAGATAGTTATTGTACCTTTAACCAATGTTGCTAGTGCAATAACATACTCTTTTGAAGCTTACCGACTCGACCCAACATTAACAGCTGTTGCTTTCGATGATATTGAAATTGACCAATGTAGTTCTATCATAACAACTACTACAAGTACATCGACAACAACAGCTACAAGTACATCGGCAACTACTACCACCACTACTACTACTACGAGTACATCAACATCTACTACGACTACAACACTTCATAATAATGCTCATCAACTATTTTCTCTAAATATATGTAGTTTGATAATTTATTATTTTCTCTTCCATATTTTTCGACATTTCTTTTAAAAAAAAATAAAATAGTTTTTGCATATATCAACTGGTTTGAATTTTCGGGTGTGGGTGTCCGTCGTTGATCTAACGAGAACACTCATACCCACACCCTCAATGATGTTGTAGGAGCCGAAATGACATACATCGAATTAGTATGACTAAAATATGATCGACTTTGCTATATCGAAGTGAATGAATAGTGCACTAGATAATTTATGTTATAATCCCCTAGTAATCCTATCGAATATGTTTCTTTCTTATTTCAAATAACATTCATGCTTCAACACTGATCTCATCTAGATGTGATATTTATTTTACATAATTCTCAACCGTACATTTAAAGTAATTTCGGTGTTCGTAATGTAACAAGAGAAGGAAAGGAGATAAAATACTACGATAATCATTCAGATCATTTTACAAAACTATTATCAACTTAATAGACACGATCATGCAATTTTGTATGCGCTTGATTTTTATTCTCTGCCTCTACTTGCAAATGCAACAGTCGATAATTGTATTTTCATATATGTATGATTTTACAACAGAAAATATGTGGCTCGCAATGCCCGATGGTGTTCGCCTTTCTGCTACACTTACCATACCGATTCCCAAATATGATAACGAAAAATTTCCTGTCCTTCTTGAATACAAACCCTATCGAAAAGATGATAGTTTCTACAATTTCAATCAACCAAATATTTATTATTTAGCAAGACGAGGTTTCATCGTATGTGAACACATAGCTTATACATTAAATGTTCGTATATCTTTTATTTCAGGTGGCTAAAGTTGATATTCGTGGTACAGGCTCTTCTGAAGGTATTCTCATTGAGTATGAATATACATCATAAGAATTAGATGACTGTGAACGTGTAATCGAACTGCTCGCTAATCATTCCCGCTCGAATGGTGGTGTAGGTATGTACGGTTTAAGTTGGTCGGCATTCAATTCTTTGATGATGGCTACTTTGAGACGACCACCTGCTCTTCGAGCAATCTTTGTTGCACATGGTTCCGAAGATTTGTACAACAATGATGTTCATTATGGTGATGGTATACTTCATGAAGATGAGTATATGCTCTCAATCGATCATGAAAATGCATTACCTGCGTCTCCTAACTATGTAATGGACGAAGAGTGGATAAAACAACGATTTACAGCGCGACCTTGGATTGATGTCTATCTCGAACATCAAGCGGATGATTCATTTTGGAGGAAAAATTCAATAAAATATGCCTATGAAAATCTCACTGTGCCTGTTTATCTAATCGCAGGGTTTTATGATGCGTAAGTTTGTAGATCAACGAAACTTTACTTATAAATGTTCTATAGGTACAAAGATTTCGCAATAAATATCTACGAGAATGCACATCAAGTATCACCTAAAATCAAAGTCGTTATTGGTCCATTTGTTCATGCAATGCCTGAGTATTCTAATCGAAATCCAGGTCCTAGTTTCGATGGCAAGGCTGAGATGGTTCGATGGTTCAATCATTGGCTTAGAGATGAGAATGAGAAGAATGACTTGATAAATGAACCAGATATCACATTATTCATTCGAACAAGTCTCACTACAGGCACCTATCGGTATGAGTCTCAGTGGCCAATTGGTCGACAGCGGATACATCGAATGTTTATGGGAAAAGGACAAAAGTTGGTTAAACAATCAACAACAACAACAGAAGAAGAAGCAAAAGAAAACGACAACCATGTGGACACACTCGAATATCGACCATGGATTGGTTACGAGGCTGGTGCATGGCTTGGTGGACTGACAGGAGATCAACGACCTTTTGATAAAGATTGTCTCATCTATGAGAGCGATTTGATAGTTGATAAAATTGAAATTGCTGGTTTTGTCAAAGTATCACTTCAGGTAAAGAAACGATGTATTAGAAAACCGTTAAAAGATTTCCTTTGTGTTTTGAATCTCTCTTAAATTATTCACTAGAAACGGATGGCATTAGTTAAGATCTTACAGATGATTATAACAGTATTGAATCAAAGAATAGGCGTGAAAACGAGAATGCTTTTATATCTGCAGGTTAGTGCTACTTCTCGTATGGCTCATTGGTTTGTGCGTCTCGAAGATGTTGATATCGATGGTCAAGTATGGCTCATAACGACAGGTGCAATGAACGGAGCTCGGCGACAAATGCCACCAGCCTATCTCGAGCCAAACCATGTCTACACGATCACTTTTCAGCTTCATTTTACTACACGGACTTTCTTGCCTGGTCATCGAATTCGTATTGCTGTTTCTAATGCTATGTTTTACAGTAACTGGCCAACCCCGTTCGCAATGAATACATCAATCTATCTCAATTCATCGGCCACTTTTATCGATTTGCCTGTTATTCTTCCAATGACATCGTTGTCACCACATCCACTAGTGCCGACGTTTACTCAACAGCAAGTCTCACCTATGGACATTTTGCCAATGCCGTTCTCCGGTGGTAAACCTAGGATTTATCGGAAAGATGAAACAGATTTATCCACATCTATTATTTTCGAACAACTGACCTATGAGCTGTTGCCTAATGGTTGTTTTATATCGGCTTTCCTTACGTGGAACTTCACTTGTTCCCATTTGGATCCTGCTAATGTGCGATGGACAACACGTGCACGGCAGATTTATGTATTTGATATGTATGGATATGCATCAATCGACGATATACCAATGAAAGCTGATGATGAACAAGTCTATCCAAATGTCGATTTGTCGACGAGACGATATTTTGAACTTGCAACAGACTTACGTATGTACTCAGATCAAGATGATTTCTATGTTAATTTAAAGCGTCAACTATGGAATTCGAACCAAACAATGAGTGAACCATTTGTGACATTTGTGTTTAATGGAAAGCATAAGAGACAATTTCATTAAATAATTATTTCTTCATAATAACTCTATCTAATATCTTTTGAATGTGTTCGTTCGTTCGCAGACAATAGAAAATCAGAAAAACATCATTCTATGAAATCTTAGGGTAGATGTGGATATGATATGATGGTAATACTGACGCCCTACAGTAAAGATGGTGTTTATGGTCTTGCCTTCATAGGTTACTTTAATGAGTGAAAAAAGTTCGATTTCATTATTCGTTACGCTAATGAAGAAGTAAACCAAATAGATCATGAGATCTCTAACAGAAAGAAAGATTTCGATAAAAATGACGAAGTATTTTTTTGCTATTTTTATTAATTGAAAAACTAAAGTTGAACAAATAATAAGGAAAAGATCATATGATTATAACAGTCGTAATCAATGCAAGGAACATAGCGCAATGGATAACGGTAAGAAGTCGATAACACATTAGGTAATTCAAGCTGGGCGGGATTTGTTTCTGTGTGCCTGGTATTATCATCTCCACTTTGGAATATTGCATAAGTTTGAAGAATAGAAAGTTCCAGATGAGGCCCAACATAAGGCAGAACATCAACACCAAACTAAAACTGATGACAACAAAAGGCGAATCAATAAAAAAGTAACAATAGAGACTGATTAACGGTTGAAGAATAAGTAGAATGTAAACAATATAATTGACACGAACTTGAAAAATGAGTGTATAATAACGAGATACACGAATTAAGTCATCAGTTAATGGAAGACGAATAAAATTAAACAAGTCCATAGACAAATCCATGAGAATAATTCCACATAGCATAGTGCTATAGAAAGAGAGCCCATGAGATCCAATAATATTCGCCATTGATTCGCTGCCACGATTCAAATCATATACCCACAAACAATATAACAGAAGGGAACAGCAGCAAATAACAGTATCAAATCGAATTCTACCTTTGCTTGTTATTGAAGTAGAAAAGATGAGTATGAACGACCAAACGACACTTCCAAAGATGGCATATGATAAAGAAGTAATTGTTATTAGGCAGCCAAATAGTAACAGTGTACCGACGAGTTGAAAAGGCAATTTCATTCGACAGTGAATTGTAGCAATTATATCAGATACCCATACTGGTTCGGATTTCACTTTTGACTTCGATTGCTGAAATGTTCGATCTATACTCAATCGAATAAGATGCCACGCACATAGATGCAGAGGATTTAATCCAAGCATTTTCCTAGGATTAGTTTAAGAAAATAAACAAACTTCAAGTAGTGTATTAAAGAATTTTGAAAAGTGAGCTTAAAACCAGTTAACAGAAATAATCGTAACAGATCCTATTTCACCGATAATTCTTGATTATATTAATAATCAGTTTGAATTTTCTGTAAAATCGAAACTAATGTAAAATTTATAATCTAATTGCAGTTCGTTGGTAAGTTTTTCAAAAGAAGTAACAAATTATTTTACTTTTTGTAGAGTGAAACTAGGTTATACAATAATATCATCAGTAGGATAGGATATGTCAATTCTTACCTTTATATAACGCTGAGAGTGTCTCGGACTGAAGAACGGGGAAGCGTTTTTTAACCAAAAGTGAGCAATATACTTCAATGTTTCGTCGTCATTTTTAGAATGATCAAATGAAATAAAGCACACGTGGCGATTATTTTCGCCTAGTCTTATGATATAGGGTAAGCATATGAAGAAAAGAAAAGAAAAGAAAAGTTGAATGCTTTATCTTACTACTTCAGTTCGAGTTTGACATTCATCGCATTTGTTTAACGATAGAATGACAAAAAAAAATAGGCGAGTGTGAATGTGGATGCAAATATTGCTTGCTCTAAGCTCACAGCCATATCCACACCCACACCCTCACCCTCAATATTCTTTAGTTTGATCATTTTCGGAGCACTTTATTTTTTTTTATCAAAGATAAGTAGAACTTAATTAATAAGATTTTGTTAATAATACGATCTTTTTCATAAATTTATGAAATATAATTATTTTCCAACATTCTAAAATTCTGTAAAAGCATGAAAAGGATCATCAAACTACATGTGATATGATAAATGAAAGAAACATATTGTAATCAAGTTATTCTATCATATACAAGGAAATCAATTGTTATCATTTGTACAAACGAATAATTCTAATATATTGCTGTTCGAACTTTAAAATAAACATTTGTTTAATATATTTACTATTATTTATTTTATCGATATTTGTCAAATAGACAAAAAAATTATAATATAATTCAATGTAAACTATCTGTGCTGATTATTATTATTTGGTATATATAATTATTTCTTTCATGATCAAAATCAAATGTAGTCAATAAAAGTGATTTGATATTGGTTGTACAATTTAGAATATAGAAATTAATCAATATTAAATGACAAGTTTAATAACTTAAAAAATACTTCAATATATTTCAGTATTTTATTTGATCGTTTTTACAATTAACAATAAATAATTAAATAATATCTGATCTGAAAATTTTTTGTGCTCGTATTTGATAGAAGAGTTAATAGAGTTTTTTCAATTTTAATAGCAATTTATTTAAAAATAAAATATCTTATTTTTGAGAGAATACAGTATGTTGATCTTGCGTAAATTTCTGTACAATAATGTAAAAACCTTTAAAAAAAAATATAAATAAATGGTGAAAAATGAGAAACCAGATTGAACCGACAGTTTTCACATAGGATAGATGACACGGATTTTTGGTTCGAGGCCACCAAAGTTACCCATAGGTGAACCATTCATACCCCCCATGCCGCCCATAGGTGAGCCATTCATACCCCCCATGCCGCCCATAGGTAAACCATTCATACCTCCCATGCCGCCCATAGAGTAACCACCCATATTTCCCATATTTCCCATACGACTAAGAAATTGTTGATAAGCCATAGCAGACTGTGGTGTCCATAGAATACAGACATTCCTTTCAGGTTTATAAGCAGGTCTGGCACCAAGGCCTAGACCAGGTTCAAATCTTTCACGACGCCCATATTCAATTTCACTAACTTCTCCAACGACGTCATTTTCAAGTTGTCCAGCGACTTCATTTTCAACTCTTCTAGCTGCTCTAAGATGATCTGCTTGAAATATTCTATATGTTCCAAGTTTATTGATAAAAGTTCGGTGCATTTTTTCTTATATCAGAGATACAAGAAAATGTGTAATATATATAGGGTTATAGAGTTGTTGTTTTGGTGTACAATTGTGGTCTAATAGTTATGCAATTAAAAACTGACCATACATGTGGTTACACATTTGTCTCGATGAGAGAGAGAGAGAGAGAGAGAGAGAGAGAGAGAGAGAGAGAAAAAAAAAGTGTTATGCAAAATCATGTACTATTACTTATTTGAAACATGAAACAATATGCTTGAAAAACGTATAAGTTTAAGTAAAATGTTTTTTTGTCAGATTTCAAAAAACATAGAATAAAAACTAAAACGAAGAGAAGAAAAATACATCATTTCATTTAACTATGTTGACATCAAAAATATAACGTTGTTTTACATAATAAAGCATAGAATTAATAAGTGAAACAAGAAGAACGAAGAACAATTATGCGTATCATTATAAATGTTTCGAGCGCTTCGAATAAAAACAAAAACAAAAAACTACAAAGTATACCCATATTAATATATCTTGAGAGTATGACTGTGGATGTAAGTAAGGGATGTGACTGCAGTTGTTGGTAAAAGATAATCATAATATTCACGCCCTCGATATTTCTAATTTTATCTGGAGTGTATTTAAATTGACTTATTGTCGATTAGATTTTCAAGATGATTCTTATATACCAACGGTAGTTTCATCATCTCTTAAATTTCTCTTAATCTTATGTCGATATTGGCAAGTGAGTGAAATCACTGATCTTTTTTACAGAATATCTTATCTTCGTTTACTTTTTAATAGATTAAATAGGATGTGGATATTGAATTCCTCGAAACCCACACCCTTGGACGAGACTGTGGAAGGTAGACATTAGATATGCACATGGGCGGCGCAGCGTCGATTTTTTAGGGGACGCAATAAACTTTTAAATAGGGCTACATAGTATACACTAAAAACCTTTTTTTATAAACTTAACCCTTTTAGGACCGTGGTACGACATATGTGCTACCTACTCTGGAGGGGAGTCCAGGCTTTTTTAAAAAAATTTTTTTTTTGAGTCGTGGTTAAAAAGATAGTTTAAGAATAATACACTGATCGTGAAAGCAAAACTGGTCCTGAAAGGGTTAATTTTTCAAACTCATATCGCTGAAAGCTTGCATACTAATTCATCAGAGGATAAATTAAGAGTCTTATAACAAGCTAACGTTTTTTCTTGAGAACAAATTTACTCAGAACGAGTTAGTAAAGACTCGTGTTCGCCTTTCTAACTGTCTTCGTCCACTGATCATTGGGTGTGAGACTTGATACTCACATAAAAGTTTTCCGAATATTTTAAAAGCTGCTTCTTTTTGAAAGAGCTATAGATATAAGAATCTTCTTTCATTTTTAACTCTTCGAATAGTTATAATTATAAGTGTTCGTGAATATGTATTAATAGTAGAAAAAAAAAATTTTTGTTCAAGAAAAATATACAATTCTTTTATTTAATTTTAAAATATTTTTTTTCTTTCATCTTTTTTTGATATAAAATCGGCTACAACAGGATCAATATCGATTTGATAAACTTTTTCTATATTTATTAATGCTAAAGATGATAATCATTCTTGTTCAGTTGTAGTCGATTTTATATCCAGAAAAGACGAAGAAAAAAAAACATTTTGAAATAAATTAAATTTCACGAAAAACAAACAATGAAAAACTCAATTTTATTGAAAACAAGCAGCAGAAAAAGAGTTGTCATTATGCTCCACCAATTATTTGCTATTTAATATAACTTCGATTCTGTCAATGAAAATAGATAAGGATCATTTAAGTATCAGCACACAATTTTAAAAAGTCGAGACTTAATCTAAGGCTACATTAGTAGTGTTGGTCAAATGTGAGGCTTTGAATAGTTTTTGCTCTGAAAGGAGGGTGTCAAAAATTATAAAAATGATTATGTATTACTTAAACGATTTCGTGTCGGATATGTACTGTCTAGAATATATCCATCAAAATAACAAAATATAGATTCATAAGACAACATTGATCAACACTTGTATATTAACTACGAGATTGTATTAAATATGTGTACTGAATTAGACAGTTTTTCTCTAATATACGAAAAAAGCACAAAAAATTTCAGGACGCAATAAAAATTTATTGCATCCCCAAATTTTTCTTAGGGGATGCAATTGCTGGCCCGTTGCTTGCTGGTGCGCCGCCCATGGATATGCACCTACATCGTCAAGATACGTCTGATAAAAGATATGTTCAACATTCAGAATTTGTAAAAATTGTTTTTTTAATATTTATATTGTAGATAACAAAGAACTGTCGAGAATTTTCCCGTTAGTCCTAATAATGAAGTAAGGTGGCGAATGTAAGGTTTTCACTTGCCAAGATCTAAGTTGCCAGAAAGCACTAGTAAGATCTTCATTTATAAACGATTCATCACCTTTGATAGTTATATTTAGATTAATTAAATGTTGTCCCCATTGATCAATCATTGATTGCCAAAAGATGGGATCACATAGCTGTTTTCGAATCTTGTCATCATAATTAGAATAATCCAATGGAGAATTTGAATAGAATTGTTTTAGATATGGACATGCACGAAGAATATATTCAATAGAAATTGGTTCACAATAACAATTCCTAAGAACAACAATATGCATATTGAGAGCACATGGAAATATGATTGGGTTTTTGCTTGGATAACGATTTTGACGATCATCATCATCTAACACACCGACGAACTGTTCTACATGTAATACTTTTAGTTGCGGTGAATAACGAAAGAGATGAAGAAGCCAAATAATAGAATAAATGTAGCCTAGCTTAAAATATGTGATTGTTGATATTGTTGGAGTTAACAATCCGAATGCTTGATGGTTGTAATCGGTATCCATGATCAAATAACGAAGAGAAAAAAATTTATCCGAACAAAACTCATGTGTTGGACACCAATGTTTGAAGTAAATATGCTCATTTTTATGACCATTTATGGTTGTTCTTGTTGTATCTATATCGATAATATAAAATAGACTTAAGATACTGTTACAAAAAATGATAATACAACCAATTTTAACATTCTAAGAAATGTTTTTCGATTTTTCTTATTGAAAAAAATAAAAATATATACATAAGGTTTCACATACCGGCAACGTTCACATAGATAAGTGTACTCTTCAAGCTAGGAAGACGTTCATGCAGTCGATTAATAACTCCATAAGTTACATCGAACAGAGTAAGTGCAGAAATTTTAGAAAATTGCTGCAAGACTTCATCGTTATCAAACAGCCACGAACGTGTCTTTTCTAATTTTCGTGAGGTAAACGATAGAATTTGATGATGATTGAGTGAGAGAACAAATGAAAAAAATTCATTTAATGGAATAGGATCAAGATCAAAATGGACGCGAACTTTAGTAAGTAAAGAATTGAAACGATGGTTCAATTGTCTGAAAGTTAAATGAAGTTGATAGGCATCAAAATATTCGAATATATTAAATAGTAATTCATTTGATAAATCTTCAAAAATCGTCACAGTATCAATACTAAAAAGAAATTAAACGTCATTATAATCGTGTTCTTTTTTTTCTAAATTAATTAACAATTTCTTATTTGATGACGACCAATCCGATGATTTAAGTTGATTGGACATTGAGAAGTATAAGACTCTTTTTCAGTTGTCAAATAGAATACTCAACTAGACTCGTAAATAATTTCTTTTATGTTATACTTACTAAATTTTATCCGCAAACGAGTCTTGCATCGAATAATATGTAAAAAAGTAATATGAAACAAATACAAAACACGTGTTACTTGTTGTGTGATGGAGATACGAGCACAGAATAGAAAAGAAAAAAGTCACTATTATATTCTGAGGCTATTTTTCAATGACATCGTACTTATTTTTACTGTTGCATTAAAATCATCAAAAAGTAGTTTTGTCAATTATCTAGTGGAAACTAAAATTTGAGAAGGATGGATGTGAATGTCGATTCTTCATTTCTTTATCAAAGCACACACCCACATCCTCAGTTATATCAAATCAATATCCAGTCAAAATAAATAAAGACATAGTTTTGTTACATGTTAAAAGTGAGTATATATAGAAGATATAAATGTGTAATTTATATGAAATTGATTTCATTTAAAAAGAGTTAAATAGTGCGAGTAGTCATGTTGAGAAAAATTGCCGTTGTTTGATCATTTAAATCAAAAATTTTTGGCATCCATGTATTGGCAACTAGAAAGATGACTAAAAAGCCAATGAGATTCATCACTATTCCAGTTTTGATCTATAGATTTGAAGTGGAGTTTAATATTCGATTAAAATAAAACTAGAACTTACCATATCAATGACACGAATAGCACCACTAGCAAAAACAATGGCATTTGGTGGTGTAGCTATATAGAATAAAAATTGCACTTTATTTTATATCATTGCATGTCAATACTTACCGATGGGCAACATAAAGGCGAGAGACACAGCCAGTGTACATGGAAGTATAAGAAACGCTGGATGTATGCCACTTGAAGTTGCCTAATTATATCAATAGAAACAAATGTAACATGAATATTTATCTGTCAAATGTCATCTAGATTTTTCATAAATAAGTTATTAGTTAACTTACCACAGAATCAAGTACAGGAAAAAAAATAGTTGCCGTACTTAAATTCGATGTTACTTCAGTAAAAAAACCACTGATAACAACAATGATTATAATAGCTGCAGCTTGCGGCATATTGGAGATAAAACCAAGAGCTTTTGCTACGCTTTCTGACAGCATTGATGTCTTAAAAATTAAAAGATACATACGTATTATGCAATTCTCTTAACTTCAACATACTTGAAAAGCAGAGGCTAATGAAAGACCAGCACCAAGAAGAATTATTGCACCCCATGAAATATTCTGCACTAGACTAGTCCATTTGACAATTGGCTCGTATTTCCAATCATGTCGTCCTTATAAAGAAAAGCATTTATTTTAATTGTCAACTAGAAAAATATCTTACGATTAAATGGATTGCTATCAGGTAGGATTAATGGAAGTATTCCACAAAAAATTGCTACAGTACCATCACTGATGTGACTACAATAAATCATGTTTTTATTATATTTAGTTTTCTTTTTGAAAATCATTAAACAAATACTCGCGTTTAAATATCATACTCCATCCTGTTGTATCGGAAAACTCTCTTCCCATGTCGCTCTTTTTTCAATAAAACCGTCGGTAACCGTCGGTTGTGCTAAGAACCAGCGGTGACCGGTGGTTGAAGCTAGAACCGACGGTTAACCGCGGTTACCGATCGGTTTCGACTAGCGGATTTTAACGATGAAACGATAAACAAAAACAAACAAACTATATGTAGTGATGTAAAAAAAATTAGAAATAATCATCAATATGATTAGAATTATCTTGTTCTACTTGTTTTATCAAGATTTAGAGAAACAAAACTCATATTTTAAAGCTATACTAAGATGTCGCTTTTTTCTTTCTCATTGGATTGATTGAAATTGTTTAAGACTTGTTCATTAGATAAAGGATATAATGAATGAATCGATTGTTGAAAATAACTTTTTAAGTTTATAATATCTACGTATATAGTTTCCATTTTTATTTGTTAATTTGTCTAGAAATTTCTTGAACAGTTAATCTCATTTTTAGATATCAATATTCTCTTCATGGATAAAAAATTCTTTTATTCTCGTCGAATTATCAAAGAAAAAGGTAAATATCAATTGTATCAATATTTTTTGTCTCAAATAACAAAATTTATATTTTCAAGATCAATGTAACATTAACTGATGATCAATTTGGTGATGAAAATATAATCGTTGAAGATTCACCATTTAAATCTACATTAGTAAGTTATATTTAGCAGGTTTTTCTTGTGAACTTTTGGCTGTTGTTTTTTTTAGATTTATGTCAATTCAGAAGGCGTATCTGTGGATCTACTTCAGTTGTATGGTGCTCAAACTCATATGGGTCGTTATGTTGCACTTGTAATGGATAAGTTATTTACGTTCGAAGAAATAACGACCATTACTAAAGATGAATTTGTAAAGGATGAACGACACTTAATTATTAAAGGTAAAACAAAAATCAGTTTTTATCATAGTCACTTCTTAAATATGGTTCTATTTAGAAGCAGTTCGATCAAGATTCAAGCTGAATCATGAAATGTTACGGTCTGAATGGTCAACCTCGCATGAATGCATTCTTCATAAGAGACGCAATGAATTGAAGAAAAAAAAAGTAGTACTGGTAATGTAACAGTGCAACCTGCACCACATGTAGCACTACACGACGATTTTGATGAATTTATTGGTTCATTCGCAAATTAAAAAGCTTGTTAAATATCTTTTTTACCTCTATTTTCTTGTTTCAAGTATTTTTACTTTATTAAAAACATTTATTTCTTACATATTACATGATTATTGTTATAATATGTAATACTTCTTTATTAACTGTTTTTATCATACAATCGTAGTTAGAATAGTAGAATATGTACTTGATTAATGTTATTTTACGTTGTAACTCGTGTTTTTGTAGACGCATTCTGCCTGTGTGAAAACATAATGTACGCGTCTTTTTTGTTTGTCTCATTGCAAGTTGATTTTGTTGAACATGTGTGATGTTAAATAATGATAAGTGATTTTGTATATTTCAATGATTTAAAATGCTCTTTTATTGTTATGCTAGAAATTGATTTTGATGAGATTTAAATAAAGTCTAACTGAAAACTAGATGTGAATTAAAACTTTTACTGTAAACTACATTCGATCCTAACACATCAGTAAGAGCATGAAGAAAATCGCCAATGGAATGCAGTTAACGGCGGTTAACCGCGGTTAACTGCGATAACCGGAACGGTCAAATGGGCGTTGAAGCGGACGGTAAACTGCGGTTAACTGACGGTTTTAAAGCGGTTTGTATGACATGGGTTGTTATCCATAGAACAATCAATATAATGAATATAATACCTACGCTGAGTTCACTCCATCTGCAAATTAAAATAGATATATATATAAATATATATGCATTTATAAACCAAAATTATTTACTTCGGTCGTCCAAGGTCTCTATATTGTTTCGTTAGTAATGCCTTCAGCTTAACTTGAGATTTACGTGTTTCAACAGAAGGTCGACATTGAAATAGTCTAGAAGTAGATTAACTAATGTGTTTTTTTCTTCTAGTACTGTGTTCGAGACAAACTCTTTTCTGTTATAACACAGCTGTAACCATAACCAACAGAATATAAGCATTAATATTCCAACCGGTAAAGCAAATAGTAGAAAATTGAGGAAGTTTATACGAAAGTTAGTACCATTGTATTTACTATATCATATAAAATCAAGTAAATTTATTCTTTCTATTCTCTATAATTACCTATCTATAAAACCTTTAAGATAAATATTGGGTGTAGTACCAACTAAACTAGATAGTCCGCCGATAGATGATGAATAAGCTATGGCAAGAAGAAATCCTATTAGATAAAATTATGCATCAAATAGAGTTAACACATATCCATCAGTTGGAAAGAAAATCACCTTTCTTCAATTGATCATTCTTTTTCGTATCTGTATTGTTCAGTTTAACTTCTTGTTGCCTAAAGTTTAGTATATAATGTTTAGCTAGTATTTATTAATACATACATTTCTGGTACTCTATGAAATGAAAACAACAAGTATTATATATTATATGAGAATGTTTAATTTCATATGCTTACGATAGTTCCATACATTGGATAGGACGATCGATCTCGTCAGATTCTGTGATATTAAATGCATCTAAATATGTTTACATGTATATAGTACGTAGTATAAGTAAGTATTGATTATTATACTACCGTTTATAACGGTTGTTGTTTGTATATTACTTTGTCGTCTATCAAGAGAATTTTTGTTATAAACACTGAGTTCATCGACGATAGCCAAGGTTACGGGCAACATAATTGATGTCGATGCAGTATTATTTATCCACATTGAAAGAAATGCTGTTGCTCCCATTAGACCAGCCATAATCCTAATTATTCATTACAAGAAATTAACATCTAAGAATTGAGTAAATTTTAAAATCTCAAATTTATTAGGAATAGTACACGTTTTTATCATCTTCCTTTAAAAAATACTTTCGTACCATTTAGTTCCCGTGCCAACCCAACTTAAAACAAATAGAGCAATACGACGATGAAGATTAACCGATTCGACAGCATAACCGAATGCCATACTACCGAAAAAAAGTGCAATAATATCTTTGAAATAGTGGGGTGCCACTACTTCTGCAGTTAAAACACCAGCCTAAGAATAAAAAAATATGTTAAGAATTCAAACCGGTTAAAATATTTTGTTTTTCTCAAATATAACATTTATTGATATTTTTTGATTCTATCAAAGACTGAGATGGGTTAAGCAAGTTTTCTTCATTACGGTTGCAAGGAATTAATCATTTTTTAGATTTTAATATTATAAAGATTATAGTTTAACACTTCGTTTTTCTTTACCATCGGAAACAGGATCAGTGGTAATAAAGAAGTAACTGGTAAAGGTATTGCTTCAGTAATCCAATATATGGAGAGAATAATTACAACATAACCGCATCGTCCTTGCTAGAGAAAAAAAAGCATGAATGTAAACATATTTTAAGATCAATAACACACACTGGCTAACGTACAGGATTATTAATAAGAATCGGTAATGGAAGTAAAACCAATGGTGTTAGAATTACTAACAGTAAACGCCATCGTTGTGTCAACCAAGTAATTATTGATGCATTCATGATTTATTCAATAAACAAGAAGAATGTAGTATCGCTTGTCACACGTAAATACTTGTGTTTAAGTAATGATTTCTTGTCTATATTCGATTAATACGATAGATTCTTTAGAATTTTTGAAATAAAAAACAACGTGGTTATTATTCATTGGTTAAGCAATACATTACAAGTTTTATCTATTGATTTTGTTTTTATCTCCAAAGCAAAATTGCATTGATTGATCTTTCTTTTAAATGTCTCATTTGTCATTCAGTGAATATAAATATATTGTCGAGCCTATCGATATTAATCTAATAGCTAATACAAGAATCGTGTTTTATCACTATTTCAATTGTTTTGTCAGAAGAGAAAGTATCAAGCAGATTATGTTCTCACAAAACCGATGTATTCATACTATTATACAGGGAGGTGAATAAGTGAAGGGCGTTTTATTTGAACATAAGTTGCATCGTAATAATAAATCCTTTGAAAAGTTATTTTTATATAACGTAAATCAGTGGCAAGAAAATGAGATTAGAGTCAAGATACAACATTTTATGAAGACAAAACATAATAGATAATGTAAGATATACGAACAACTCATATTAATAATTATTCTTCAAATTTTCATTCAAAAATTGCTCATTAGATTTGATCTTGTCATAAAAAGATACTTTTCTTTAAATCTTCTACTTATTATGGTCAATCTTCTTCAACCGACTGATTATTCATTGATATTTGAAAATAAATAATATTTTTGCAGCTTTATTTATAACATAGTGGTAATAAAAAGTCCATTGTAATCAAATAATTGATACAAATAAACACTCTAAGGAGTTAGATAAGAACACTTTAAATAAAAGTCATTTGAATATACTTGATTTACCTAATGAAATATTACTCATGATTATCAATAAACTGGCTTTTATAGATGCTTTTTATTCACTTGTGGATATTAACGAACAATTTGTTCAATTAGCATGTGAGGAAAGAGAGAAAGAATTGTCATATATTTTTAAAGGGTAATGATAAGTTTGAACAAAAATTTTCTAATTCATTGAGTTACATACAACAACTTTACAATACAATACAAAAGAAGGAGTTTTCTAGTGTCTGTTCAAACATCTTCAATCAATGGGTCAATATATTTTGCATAAATTCTTTTTCATGTTCTAAGTCGTTAGTTTAGTTAGTGACCGGCAGGCATAGTTATACCGGTACCAGAATGATATCTAACAGGCGCACCTGTATTTCTTGTTACTGCAGTTGCATTGTCATCTCTTCGGCGATGTTTCATTAGCAATTTTTTCACATTAACTCGAAACGCTTTAGAATGTGCATAGTAAATATAAAAACTAGCAGCTGTGTATGTCTCATAGAAAACAAATATAATTGATTGAAATAGATTTTCCATAGCCATTCGTAAATCACTCTTCGGCAACTCGTACGTCACCGTTATATAGAGGTTGACTGAAAAGAATGTTATAGTTTGAAATAAAAATAAGAGAATTTGCGGTATTAACATTCGTGAAAGTTGACTGTCGAGACGTTGACGTCGATGTGCTTGTTGATGATTTGAAACAATAGCTACATCGTCACCTTGATGAACTGGATGAATATGTTGAAGATTTCGATAAGTTTTATATCCGAATACAGAGAGTATAATGAGAGGAACGAATGAAAACATTACAGGTATGAGAAAATAAGAAGCATATTGTAAATAAATTTCATTATCAACACATTGTTGAATGTTTGTATCAATATTCCAATAGAGAATATCTGGAATCGCAAGAAGAAATGAACAGAAAGTGACAATTACAACTGAGATTTTGGCAACTTTCATTGAACTCCATTTTCTCAATTGTATTCGACGTGATGAACATAAGTAACGATCGATAGAGGCCAAACAGAGCATTAACGTTGAAATTAAATTTGTCGTATCAGATGCCCAGTTTATTAATTTACACCAGACAAGATTTGTTTGTGTTCCATTTTTCCGGTAGATAAGGCCAACAGTTGCTGGCAGGACATAAATAAGAAGAGTTAAAGTGTCGGTAATCTCTGCAGTAAGTAAATAGAATGAACAAACATTATTTTTAAGTTTTGTAAGAAACATGATAATGCTAAGAGTATTTCCGAAGATACCCATAACGAGAATAATACTATAGCCATAAATATAAATTTGAGTACTAGTGTAGTTTAGAACGTCGACTATGGACATTTTTCGTAGTCTTCGTGAATGTTCTAGAAAAATACAGAAGAACTTCTTTATCATCTGTCTATTATTCGTATCAACATTATTAATTGAACAGTGAAACAACATCTAAAAGGGGTGATGAAGTGTTTGCGGGCAGAAATTTGTACCCACAGACTATGAAACACCCACCTGTTATCATTAAAAGATACTCCGACAAGAAACTATAAATAAAGGAACATTTCTAATCTTTATTTCCCAAGTAATTAAAGTCATGAATGTATTAGAAGATCTCATCTAACTGCGATATATAAGACATTACTCTGAATAAATGACTCTAAATGTAAATCAGAAGACTCATTCATATCCTGTGGTAAATCTTTTTGAGCGAGTCGATGGATTTTCGAATCCATACTTCTTTTATTTTTCTAAGAAAATAAGAAAAAATGACAAAAATTCCATGTCTTACCCATTTTTTAGTACATATCTGACTCTTACTTTGTGATTTTTAGTCAAGAGATCTCTAAATATGAACAGATATTTCTAACTAAAAGTTCTTTTTTCCGGGTATCATTGAAAACTATAATAGAAATATTTTAAGGACATGATTCTTCATACTCTACAATATTAAAAGACAGACAGAAAAGAAGATATAATATATCTGCTTTCTCTATGTTATTAAAAATTATAATAGAATTGTTCTCAACAGATACTTACTCACACTTCACAATATTAAAAGATGAGTAAAAAAGAGGAAATTAGAAGTCTGCTTTCTTTATATCATTGAAAATTATAATAGAAAAACTTTTAACAAATATATATAATCATAATCCACAATATTAACGGATGAACAGAAAAGAGAAAATTAGAAATCTATTCCAAAGATTTTATTGTAAAGAAAATAATCAAAGAAGAGAAAACAAATTGCTGTTATTGAGTGTGATCGTTTAGTATATAGTTGGTTATAGTGAACCCAAATATAATTCTTATACTAACAGTGATATTGAAAATTAAGTGAAAAGTATATATGATACTACTCGAAATTTTAGAATATGATTGATATTTTGTAAATATAAATACTTTGATCTTTGTATTGTTTTTGACTCCCTATAATGGAGTTCAACCAGTATTAGTTATTGCCGTTTTCAAGCATCATATCAAAATAGAACTATTTGTAATTATGTTCTGTATTTGATGTCATTCTATATATAATATCATATATTTTCAACTCTTTGTCAGGAACTACTCATAAAAACATGCATAATTTTTCTAGAGTTAAACGAGTAAAGTAAAACCTAGCAACATTATACAACTGCTACGTTGAAAAATTAAAGAATATCATCAATTTATTTCTACATAAATTTCGTTTATAGCAATTCTTTGCTTAGAGTGTCTTGTGTATTCAAACAGTATTTGTCAATAGAAATTTAAAAGAAATAAAAGAGAGTTAATACAGTGAATATACGCGTTTTACTTGAGTAAATGACAACAAATAAAGTTTTGAAATAGTTTATACTAATTTTTAAGAAATCGAACGCCAAGATAAGCGATAAATCGACAAAAGATGATGAATGCCAGTAATGCTCCAATACAACCACCAATATTGATATAGTCTAAGCCTAGCTGTTTGATTGTTGTTTCACCATTCGGGATGCAAGTACTTGTACCTGCATCTGCACATGACAGAGTAAGACCTTGTAATTCGTTAAGACTCACACCAACATATGTATACTTAGCATAAGACAATGCATCAAGCCATGAAAAGTATTTTGGTAAATTAACTGGAGATAAAAAGAAACCACCAAAAAGACGAGATACTTCAAGTGCCATCGGTAGAATTGTTACACTCATATTGGCCGTCTTGCATAGAGCAGAAATCATTAGTGCTAATGATGTTGCCGCGAGAGAACAGAGAGCCGTAAAAAGCATGAAAAGAAAAAATTTGCCCGGTAACGGTTGTAATCCAACAATAAAATAGACCACACATGACTAAAAATTTTGATGAAAGAAATTAGAAAAACTTTAGACAGTATAACATACAAATATAATGGGTACAGGAATTTGAACAAGTGTATCGGCAATAATTTTAGCAGTAAAGTATGCACTAGATAAATAAGTACCAGACGCTCGTTCGCGTAATGTCAACGCACGTTCCATTGGAAACGAATTAATGACCATCAATGCACCAAATATACCTTGATTGACAACACAAAAGAAGAGAACTGGTTGACGACGAACAGTACTCGTTTGTGATTGACCTATTTGTAAAAATGCCGTTCCAATTAAAACAGCAATAATGACTGTTTGAATCAACGATGCTATTATGACTTGAGATTCACGTAAATGCGCCTGAAAATCACGACGAAGAAGAATACGCACTTGTTTATGCCATATAGGATTAAGTGGTAAATTAGCCATTTGAGCAAGCCGTTTATGTGCACCCATATTGAGATCAATTGTTATGGGTGTTTGTGCAGCAGTAATCGCTTTATCTGTGATAGCTTGCTGTTTAGGTGAAACGATTGCTTCGTTATGCTCTGCTGATGGATCACGCTTAGACGGTGTAATCACATCAAGAAGATGATCAGCTGGATTTGTATATAATGGGCATGGAAAACCCGCTGCTCGAAATGTTTCCTGAAAGGAATTCAAAAGAAAAACATAGAAAGATCAGACAACTTTTTCTTACCATGGCTTGGTTTCTTGGACCTTGATAAATAATATTTCCTTCTTTGAGTAGAATAAGTGAATCAAATAAATTGAAGATTTTTGATTGAGGCTGATGAATTGAACAGACAATTGTCACTGCTTTTTCTTGTGTTTTACCATGAGCAAGTGAATGAAATGTTCGTAGAAGATCGAGTGCTGTCACAGAATCTAAGCCCGATGTTGGTTCATCAAGAAAAAGTAATTGTGGACGATTAAGCAACTGCATACCGACACATAAACGTTTACGTTCACCACCTGAAATACCTTTTTTCATTGGCGTACCAATAATTACATTTCGAACATGACTCAAACCCATATCGATCATAACATCTTCGACTCGTGTACGTCGTTGTTTATTTGTAAATGTTCGTGGTAGACGAAGTTCAGCTGTGTACATCAATGTTTCTTCTACAGTCAAAGATCCATTGAGTAAATCATCTTGCATAACATAGCCAGCAATACGTTTCAATTCAGCATTATTATAAGGAGCCCCATTGAGACGCATTTCACTTTGTGTAATTGTATTCACATCCAAACGACATGCTAATGTATTCAATAAAGTTGACTTGCCAGAGCCGGATGGACCTGTATTTTCAAATGATATATTACACAAAAAGAAAAAGAAAATGTGACTTACCCATAACAGCCCACAAACCACCCGTGATAGCTCCACTTACATTGTTAAGTAAACATTTTCGTTTAGGAACATATCTATTACAGGATCTAACTTTTCGAAAAAATTCTGTAGTCTTATCTTCACGAGATAATACAGTTAAACGTTCCCAAACAAGAATTGTACTAACACGATCAGATGTTGGATCGAGTAGAGACAATTGTCGTTCAAATGGTCCAACACTCATTGATTGATGTTGTTGCTGTTGACCATGGTTAGACGAAGGGATTGATGTAAGACGTGTCACCTCCAAGGTAAGAGGAAATGGTTTTCTCGACATCCCTGAAATCTGTGATGGAAGTTTAACTTCGATTTCATTTTCATCAGTAATCGGCAAGAAAACATCAGTTCGATCTAGAACATGATTTCCATAAGAAGTGTATTCCATTGTAGTTCTATAAAAAAAAAGTAAATGTCAAATAGAAATGTCAAGTTGAATGAAATAATCCGGAAATTCGTTTTCTATTAATAGCTTGAAATTTATAATGAGCAACTTCGTTCTCTCATTAAATACGATATGAATTCTATTCAAGGTAATCAAAGCAAGAATGAGCGATGTTTTTCGTTTCGAATATGGATGTCCTTGTCGTTGATTGCAAAAAAATAAAAGTAAAAGCCTTTTCTCACCTATGTCAATAGGATGCAAAAGAAATTTTTTCATTCAGCTTGTATAAAGATATATTGCTTCTTTTTAAATAGAACAAACTTGACTGAAGTTGATGCTAAAAATCTGTACTGGTAAACAAACTAGTTTCTATTCTTATTTGTAATAAAAAGCAACGTATAAATAATCGTTTTTCTTTTCTTTTCTACTGCATGTAAAAGAAACAAAACTGGTTTCGAATCAAGTGCACACTTTGCTTCTATGGCTTATTCTTGTTTAAACAATAATATTCCGATGAAGAAAACAACGTTAAGATGTCATACTGTGAGCAACAATACTCGATCAGTTGATATGTTTTGTGCACAATTTGCTACAAATGCTGACTAAGGGTGTAGATATGGATTTATTGTCTTTACTCTCACTCACACACATATCCGTACTCTTTTAGAAAAAAACATAAAGTAAATTGCTCTTTGGAAATTGTAGAGCTCTTCATATTGTTAATGAAGAAATAAAAAAATAAATTTATCTATATCAACAAAACCACGGTTTTTGCATGGTCGAGTTTAGTCGTTCAATATTTTGTTTTTGCAATCCGATATATTTAAGTGAATGAGAACTGAAAAACAAAGTGTCACTATGAAATCTATCATACTCATTATTTTTTGTATTCATTTAAAAAAGGTAAGTTGATTAGGTTAAATCAAATAATAAAAATATATGAAAAATATGGGTGACAGTCTTTACTTTATTCATATCCACATCTACATCCATCAACCTTTTTATAAAATCATCAAATGTTTTAAGACGCGAGTCTTCAAAGTTTTGAGCGTGTAAAATGAAAAGACTGTCCACACCCACACCCAATTTTGTGTATGAAGCATATGTGCTTTTCAAAGATTAATCACTCATTTAACTTTGACCCCTTGAAAAGTGCTTCATTCATATATTGTTCTTTTGTATAGTTTCTGCATCAAATGATAGCATGTAATTGGTAAAACAATATGAATGACAGAAGTGTAGAATTAGTTTCGAGCATAAAATGTCAACACTGCATTTATAGAATAATTTTCAAAAAAACATTCATTTATTAATATGTGCTCGTATATATTCTTTCTGTTTGTCATCGAGTCGAAAAGAGTCTTTCTCCAGATCAAACTGTTGACTTGTACCGTAGCCAGCAAGATACGCATTCAATTTGCTTGCTAGAGACTCATTCAATTCAATTGATTTGAACAATGAGTGTCGCTTGAGATAGTGCTACGAAAGAAATAAAATATACAATTTTTAAATGAAAAACGAAAAACAGGAATTCCATCTAGCTGATTATTACCTCCTCTTTCTAACCATGCCTGATTTGTTTCGAGTATACAACTAATCAAGGTGAATGTTTCATCATAGACAGAACACCAAGAATGAATAAATTTCTTTTGAAGAAAAACGCTTCTAAGAACTCTCTTTAAGATTTATTTTGAAGGTAAATAAATTTTATCAAACATACAACTGAAGACTATTGTCAAGTCTTTTCAAGAATAGAATTATAAGCTTCATACATCTTTGTCAACAACTCTTACTTTTTGGTGGTATTCTTCGGCTCGTGTGAAATCTTTTATCTTGTCGATACGTGTTTGTAACGGACGTGCATAATGTCGCTCTCGTTCTCGTTTGCTTTCTTCTGCCTCCAGACGCTGTTCATCTGTGTGATAGAATATTGCCGATGCATATTGTCCTTCGCCGTACTGACTTAGTGGATCGTGCCAACTCCAAAATGCTTTGAGCAGTTCTCTATATGTGATACGTTGAGGATCAAAATCTATCTGTACACATTCTGAATGATTACCAAGATTTTTATATGTAGGTGAAGCAGGTTTTGTACCGCCACAATAGCCGACACGTGTTCGAGTAACGCCGAGCAACGAGCTAAATTGTGCATCGGGACACCAAAAACAACCGAGCGCAAACGTTGCATGTGTCGACATTGTATGTATGCATAATGACGTGGCAAATGAAAGAAGAAAAATGGCATGAAATTATACATGTATTCTCACATGGCATCACCAGTGAGAAGAGAACGTGCAGCCTGTGTCAACAAAAAGAATCAGCAAGACTCTATCAACTTCACAATCGAATAAAAAAATTCTTATTTCTGATAATCAGAGTGTCATTAGATAGCCTTAAGATTTATTTGAACTGAGAGAAATAGTTTCGATCAAGCATATCATTTCTTCATTGCAATCGCTCGAACAATATACCACAACTGTGCTTTCTTTTTTTTCAGAAATATTTCGCTATTCCGATTATAAATGTATAGTTGAAAACATTTTTTTTCTCTTATTTTTTGATGATAATGTCATCGAAATAGAGATGAAAAGGAGATGTCCGCATTTCTATTGTCAATTGGAATAGTTACATGAGTATGATAATACAAAAAACAAAACAAGTAGAAAATCAATAGAGTTCGCAATCATTATTGTTCATCAGGTTGATCAGTATCGTTGAACTCCGATTGATTTCCAGTCCATATCTGGCGAAATTTAATCAAAAATAAATGATTATATAAAAAGTAATTAAATAAATGAATACTCACAGTGACATTATCGCGGAGTAGCTGCATGATAAGAGTAATGTCTGAAAATAAATGGAGAAAATAATCAGTTTTATCCATTGTTATTGATTTTTGTTCTTACCTTTGTAAGAGTCTTCAGAAACGTAATCTAATCCAGCTAAAGCAGCGTCAAAAGCCTATGACATTGATATTTCGATAAATAAACAAATGAAAGACATCAATTTAAACAAACCTCTTTAGCCATACGACATGCGACATCTGTTTCATGAAGGATTTCATGATGAAAAACTGAAAAATTTAGAACAAGACCAAGACGAGTTGGATGTGTTACTGTCATTTGATCTATAGCTATTTCAAAACCATTCTTATAGGTATGTTTCGATTCTTCCGCCAACTCTGTATAGTAATCAAAATCAATATACATAATTTGTTTTCGATTACAAATCTATACGTTACTTTGTCGTTCACTGCCAGTAGCAACTTCAGCTAAGTATCGATAACAGTCACCTTTCATCTTCAAATAGAATACCTGTGATTCAGTTGCTGTCGCTTTTGGAATAAGATGTTTATCAATTAATGTCTAAATTTAGTAAACTTTGTCTCTAGAATGATGACTTACAACATCGATCTTACTAAAAGTTCATGACAAACAACTTTCAATTCATTCTCGATCTTCTGTCGATATTTCGTGGTCAATTCCTGCTGCTGTTCAGTACCATTAGCTTCCTGTTCAATACTTGATATCGTTCGCCAAGGTGATCGATATGTGCCAATCACATTCTTGTAAGCAATCGAAAGCAAATTGCGTTCTTCGATCGTTAATTCACTATTCGATTCAGCAACTATTTTCATAGCATTTACCATGTCAGTATATCTAAATGAAAACTCATGTTTTTGAATCGAGCACAGTATGTTTAACAAATATGGTACCGCTCAGCTTGACCAGCTAATTTCGCGAATTCCACTTGCTCATTCATATTTGTCATGATTCAATGAAATTAATCGTTGGAATAAAAAGTATGTGAAATAGATTCTTTACCAGCCAGCCAACAGTCAGAAGACACAGTTAATAAAAATGTAACTAGAGAGCACAAATATGCTAATACCCATTGTAAGAGGAACTGGGCTATTTATACTGTTCCTTCTGCACAATCTCTCTTTCTCTCTTTCTGCATAACGAATATTTCAGTGTGACGTCACACAGAGGCGAATGACGAAACCTACGCTAGTTGTCAAACAGAACAGAACGATCGTTGAATTAGTCATTCAAATTCACAGAACGAACATCGGACGGCACACAAAACATATTGTACGATGTAGCGTCATTACTTAGTAACCAACTGCAATAGATTTTATTTCGACATATAACAGAAGAGGGCACCAGTGTAACATCCTTTTTAATGTAATACCTTTACAACACTTAGTCATCATTGAATGCACTACTACTGATTCCATTCAAATAGTTTCTCTGTCAGTTTGACCGTCATTTTTCTGAAGCTTGTGAAAAACTATGCCTATTCAATGTATAACTGGTTAGAATAGGAACACATACTTCGTTTTGTTTTCAATCTCACTTTCATTTTTGCTCTGTAGAGAAAAAACAAAACTATATCATTTATTTTCATTTGAGAATACATATCCGTTAGCCGATGATAGTAGTATTTTAATTTAATCTATTTGACATTTGAGTGTCGAAAAAAAGAGATAAGTATAATTCATTACGAAGAAAATCAAGTTGTTCACATGTTGATATTAACCTCATCATTTTTTATCGTTCTCGATATACAACCAAGTTCAAAAAAACTTGCACAAAATTGAATTTTTTGTATAACGATTTTCTTATCGTTAGAAAGTAATGAAAAGTTTAACTTTTCCAGGGATATATGTACGTTAGTAACACTACACGTTGACTATATAAAAGCGTGAACTCTTTTCTTTTTAACACATAAACATTTAATCATGACATCATCTACTGATTTGAAAAAGCATCATATATCATTATTACATTATTGCAACAACGGTATACGATCTGCTCGTGCTCTCCACCGTGAAACGAAGATACCACTAAGGACTATCTATTACAATATAGATAAGTTGAAACAAATAAATTCACTTAAACACTGAGGAGGAAATGATCGGCCCATTGTCTTATGTCCAAAAGAAAAAAAGCTATTGGTCAATATATTCGACGTAACAACGAAATTACTATAAAAGAAATTAAAGAAAAATTATCAACAGCTTATCGGTCATCAAAATATTGATGAACTAAAACTTTTTTTATGTGAAGAATTTAAAAATGTTGATGTTAATTTTGTAATGACTTTTGTGATGTCGATGAAAAAAAGATGTTTGTCTCTTATTGAATCTAAAGACGAACGAATAAAATATTGAAGTATAGTGCTAAATAGTACTCGGCATAGGCTATCAGCCAGTTATGGAAGCAACTTGAGAGTGACTTATATATGGGGATATAACTGAATTTCAATCATCATAGATATTTCGTATTATCATTCGTCTGATTCTTTCCATAGTGAATGTTTTAAAAGAAAAGATTAAACTTCTATTATGTATCTATGCTGAGATATATACGAAATTCTTATTTATACCAAAATAATTACAAAACATTACAAGTTCAGAAATTCAGTTTTTTCTAATAGTTTCATTTAATTAAGTTTATTCACTGAAATGATATGAAAAATGAACAAAAACGAATATTACCCAACAGCTATCTTGAGAATAAAAGTAAGATTGATCTATGTTATATCTCTAGAGGGTTTAGTTGTAGACATAGATCTATGTCTAATCTTTACCTGCATTAAAATATTCCTTTATTGAAAAACATTACAAAAATTAAATCGTATTATTAATGATTATGATCAAATTAAACAAATAATTAATAAACAAGAATAAGATCTACATAATCTTCCATTAATAAAACCAATTGAAAAAATTCTATAACAAGCAAAAGATTGTAGATAAATTGTCATTAAATATTCATACAGATTTTTCAATGATATTGAAAAGAAATCGAATGATCTATCTGAACAAATAAAACAACTTCATATCGAAAATGAATATAATGCAATTAATAAATATCATTTATTAGTCAAATTTCAGTTATTTTATCAAAAGGTAAGTTTTTAAAAAATTATTTCAGGAAGAATAATTAAATTTATGTTAAACAACTATAACACAAAGAAAAGTGATGATGAAGACGATAAAAACAATAGAATTTCATTGAATCTCAGAAATTATTGTTTCCATCTATTGGGTGTGGGTGTATGATAGATATAATATTCATATATACAGCTGCCCACACTCACACTTACACCCTCTTCGTTTTCAGCATAAGTTAGAATAAACCAATAAATATTATTATTTAACGAAATGTTTTATTATATTATTTGGAAGTATATAAATAAGATAACGAAAACAGAAAAACGAACAGACTATAAGAAAGAGCTGTTGATCGGGATCTGGTGGTAGTACTTTGCGATGTTGTCGTTGTAGTTTCTATCGTGAAACTTGCACGCGTGAAAAATGAGCATAGAGTTTCATTGCTACTGATTTCATTACATGCTTCAATGTACACTAGATGTATGCCTGGTTGATAACCAATTGTCATCTCGTAAGATAGAACTGTTTGTGACAGATTGGCATTCAGCAATTTAGGATATACCGTTAATTGATAATAATAATCAGGTCCAGCAGGTTTTAAAGGAGGTGACCAGGTTAAAAGTACACTAGTCAAATTCTTCTCAACTGTAAGATTTTGTGGTGGTGATGGACGACCAATCTCTGTTCGATATTCTCTTTTTAAATTTTCGACAACTCCATCACAATTCAATGTGAAGACATAGGATGTATACGGGTCAAGATTCATCATTGGCGCGATGGCAATAGTTGTTGAATCATTTAAAAAGTCTGCAGGATGCCATTTATCTGTGTCGTTGATTCTCACCTGACATGAATATTCTGGTGATGGACGATCCGATACTTTGATCCAGAGACTATTATCATCGATAATGAATCGAAAAAATAAAAAAATCAAACGAAATAGTTAGTATAAACTTACAGAATAAAAGTATCATAGACATAAATTGTATCTGTGGCATTCTCTTCATCAGAATATATAGCACTAAAATAATCGATTGTTGTTGCTGTCATCACTTGAAAGATTGTCAGCAACGGTATAAGAAAAAGTAATTGATATTGTCTCATCTGCATGTTTCTTACGTGTGGTAAAACAAAAAAATAAATCGAAATAAATAGCTGATAAATGAGTAATGCATTCTCTATCCTTCTGATAAATATCTGTGACGTCAATTTTAAAGTATTTTGATAAACTTACGCTGCATGAATCATACGATTAAATTACCGTTCTCTACATAAGATACGTCAATAAAAAAACGTATGACGACTTTCACTTGCAGAAAAACGATGTTTGAAAGAAAGGGTATTAGATATCATATTCGTCCTTCATATACACTTATTCATCAACACACCAGATTTGTTTTGAATAAATAGAGATAAACTCTGTTACTGTGTAACGTGATGAAGTAATATTAATCATACAATTATTTTTCCAACCACCCTCTAAATGATTTATATCTTAATTATTTTATGAATAACTTTGAAAAGAAGGGTGTGAATGAGAGGGAAATAATCACACCCACACCCACATCCTGTAACCGTGCTTAAACCCACTCGCATGATATTATTTCATTTACTTTTCATCGAGATTCATTGCTCTTTATAACAATAATGTTGATGTTTATCATTTGTTTTGTCATATTTTTATGGAAAGTAAATTGTACAAGTTATATACACAAGTAGAAAAGAGAAAGCCAGAAAGAAAAAAATAAATTACTGTCAATTCAATATTCGTCATCATTTTCATACAAAATCATCATTCTTCGTCTTCTTCATTCATTATGCTTCTGATTTTTGAGACGGCAGAGGATCCCAAGTTTATATAGCTGGCTCTTGAGGTGATAGATGTGTATCATCGAAATGGACAGAAGGATGATTAGGTTGAAACCGCACAGTAAATACTTTAATTTTTTTAGCAACAACAGGTGATGGTTTATTCATAGATGCAGGGACCTTATTTGAGTCGTATCCATAGTCCTTGTTCATCTGAGTAACTGACGGTTGTTTATCGATTGGTTTTGAATAATCAGCAACACGCCCTTTACCACCAAGACAACATTGTCCACAACAGTAACAACAACAACAACAGTCACAACATCCACAACAGTCCTCACATTCATCACAACAGCAACAGCAACAAACTCTAACATCACCAGAACAGATCATTGCCATCTTGTTTGTTCGCTAATCAATTTTTTGTGAAGAAATAATATAATAAATTAATCAGTATTTATCTATAATTCGATTTCTAATATATATGGGATAGACGACGGGTTTACTGTAGGCTTAAGAAAAAAAAAGAAAAGTTTTTCTTTTATCGTTTCATCATTTATATGAGCATGATAAATAAAGGATTTGCTGTAGAAGTAAGGAAAGAAAAAAAGAAAAGTGTGGGAGTGGGTGTTCTCTTTAGATCAACAACGGAAACTCCCACTCCCACCCATAAAAACGAGCTATTTACAGCGAACATTAGTCATTATCAATAATAAATGCATGAATATTATTCTATTTAATAAAGAATGAACAAAAAGACATTGATCAATGTCTTTTATGTTCTAATAACATAGATTTAATAAAAATGAATATTTTCTGTTAAAAAAACGAGCTTTGCTATATTATATAAAAGGAGAAAAAGATAAATACAATATAAAATCATATATAGACAGACGCTTGGAAAAGTTAAGAGATGAGGAATATAATTCATATGAGCATATGCCAATGACGTATTTATATCGTGCCAATAAAATCTCATGCGTAATTAATGGAGTGCTTCTATAAATGTAGATGAATAATATATGAATGATCGATGAAAGACAATTTATTTTGAAGAGGCATTACAATAACACGGCCATTAAATTAATCATGAATCATGTTTTGTTTTTTTTTGTTTTACTAAGATTGACTTCCATTTTCTAGTCACTTCATATAAATATAAAACAAAAATAGACTTGACTAAAAACTCTTTGAGGGTGAGTGTGGGGGTAGATCTAAATATTTGATATACATAGAAATCATATCATGCAAAGCAAATAAATGATTCAAAGTAGTTTTATGAAGTGAGTATAGCTAAAGAAGATTCTACTCTCGAAGTTGAAGTGTATTTGAAAGTACATGTCGAGAAGGTTCGGAATCGTTAAATTGTTCTTCCGTTCTTCGATGACAAAAATTCCAATACAACGTGATCTTTTTTCCAATTGATGTCGAACAAAAATGAGCGGAATAGACAGTCGATGATCTTACATAAAGAAGAAAACTGAACATTTGAGGAGCGAATGAAATAAAGAATGATATGATAAATGGACATCTTATAGCCATAGAACTAAAATCACGACAAATTATCATATTTGAAATGATTATTTGTGGTAAACAAAATAATTGAGGTAAGATTGTTATTGCCGGACCACAAATCAATTCAATATTCTCGTGGATAATCGTTTGAAAAAAATTCCAACGAACTTTTGCTTTCATATACCATCCTATTGTTTGATCGATGTCATCAATATTCAAACGAACTGGATGTGCTATAAAAATATACTTAGTCGTTAGTAGAATTCAGTATCAGCTAACTTACTCGACTCATTTTCAATAGAAACTAGAAACAAGACAAAGCTCAGTTTAACAATATCTTCAAATAAAATCTTCTTACCTATGACTTCATTCGTCTCTAGTGCAGTTTGAATGTTCGTTGTTGGTATAGGTGCATTGGAATCTATGATACATTTATGATAGAAAAAGATAATAGAATAAAGTAAAATTAGAGGAGAAGGAAGAAGAGTACTATCTTTATCTTTTGTTCACACTCACTTACTTGATTTTCGATTAGCCAATAGTTTTTGTTTAGCAATCAAACACATGATACCCGTAGTACAAAATATATTAATTAAAAGTGGTAAAATAGTATTGATGCAATTGTTAACCAAATTGAGATACATCCAAAATGGATGAGAATAAAATATAACACATATTGAACTATTCTTAGCTGTTTCCGTATCAATGATTGAGGTATAAAAGTGAATTTGTGGTGCATTGATGAGTAATATGGTGATGGTTAAAATAACCATAATCCATTGAGGAACGTAAGATTTTTTCAACCATGTTCCTGTGATACACCATGCAATATATAGACGCTCGATGGCCACTGTGCTCATCAACCAACAAGACAGTTGACTTGAGCTAATTAAAGCAAAAGGCAATGCTTTACATAAAATCTTGTTGATTGTGATGTTTATTGTTGCTATGGATCCAGATATACTCAGTACTATATGAATAATTCGAACAACAAGAAAAAATAAGGTCAACTGATTGACCACACTTCCAACCAAAAGATAATTGCCGACACCACTTCTTAGAAATTTTGATCGATAGAAAGTCACAAATGTAAAGAGATTATTAAAAGCACCGATAACGAAAAAAATACATGGAATAATAATTGCACTATAGAACGCTGCCTGCTGTGTGATTGTCGTAGTCGATAATAAACCATGCTTAAAGACTTGTCCAAGAGTAAAAGAATAGTGTTCTGAACTATATTGACATTGACGACCGTAGTGACACGCCGGACATAGACATAGATAGTCATTCTTTTTCTTTGAATCTCCTTGAACACATCGTCCGTTAGAGTAACACTGGTTACATTGATCAGATTTATGATTATAACCAAAACACTCAGTTCGAGAACGATCGATTTCGCAAAAGCACAGGTATTGATCGTCGAAGAAACATAAGAGATCCGGGTAAGACGAGTTATCACGACATATGTTGTGATATTGATATACTAGAAACGAGAGGAAAAAGTAGAGAAAATGTAAAAAATATTTTCATAAACCAAACCTGATATATTCATAGAGATATCTGTAATATTTAAACATGTGTTCGTATCTTCTAGAGAAACTGATAAATTGATAAACTTCTTCCCGATCATCAAAGATAGAAGAAAGATTTTCGGATATTTCTTCTCTCCATTTGAATAACTTCGTACAAGTATGATGCGGGTGTGGGTGTGGGTGTGGGTGTGTGTGGGTGTGGGGTGGGTGTGGGGTGGTATGTTTGTGGGAGGGCATGGGTGATGAAGACACTACTAAGACCCACACCAACACTCACATCCTTACCGAATGTTCCTATGTGTGTACCTCAGCCACACTAGAAGTATTAATTCCTACAAACTATGTGAAATTACATTGGAGAGTTTCCAAAAAGGCCGGAATTATATCAGAAAATCAGAGTTTTAAGACTAGTATTGTACTTTGAAGAATAACTAGGATGCTAATCAGATATAAAATACTCGATAATATTGACTCAGAATCATAGATCCGACTGGATCCTGTAGAATCTTATTGGGCAGTTTTGCTCTAAATATTGGTTGTTATCTGAAATAGATTTCAATGAAATCTATGTTATATACTTCATGCTGAATTTGATTCGAAGTCACTGACACAAACCGAAGGTTTCCAACTGGATATATTTCTTCCACATTCTATTCGCTCTCATCATTTTTACCTCAATAAATACGATGTTTTTCGTCGATATGCAACTATAGATTATTTATGAGACAGTTGATAAAGTTTAGAGACATCAGAACAATCGAGTTTTACGACTACAATCTTCCAAACTAAATAATGTTTATTTCAGACTGAAAATTTTTGGGATATCATTTAGTTTCTAGTCTTTCTTTCATTTCAATCCAGATCTTATCTCAGAAAACTACCAGTTGATAGACAAGAAATTATATATTGTTGTTATGTATTATGAGATCTCTTAGTAATCAATAGTGCAACGATTATCGTCACTATAAATTAGAATAAATATGTAGTCGAAAAAAAAATAAAACTATCTCTTACCGTGTATTATCTCGCACAAAATGAAATAGCAAAATGTTGTATACTTCACCTTTATAGCCCTACTTATTGAGAAGGACGCAAATTTATTGTTATCGGTTGTTAAAACAATAAAAACTTTTATCTATTCACTTCTATTACAATGAAGAAGTCGGTCAAATTCATCTAACGAACAAAAAAGAAAAAGAAAGAAAGAAAATCTCCAAGTAGTAGGGTGTGGGTAATGTTGCGAATGAGATATCAACATATTACTCTCACACTCCTCTCAAACACAATATCTAGTCGAATGAAGAATATGACTGAGTAATAGACCATTTAAATCAATAAAAATAATAATTTGATGAAATATGAATCACATAATCAAGAATACAAAAGAGAAAAGGTACCCTATATTTTTTTGTATAGGAGAATGAGTAAAATCGATATCGCTATATTATTATATCAGTACACACATTAAATTTTTATATGTAAAAATAAAAAAAATGAAAAAAATCAGAAGATCTTGTATAATGCAATTATGAAGTTGTTATATGTAAATATAAATAATAAATGAACGTGAGTGTAGACAAAAAGAAACCGAACACACTCACACTCAGAAAATTAAATTTAAATTGAGTTATCGATTGAAACTAAGTGTTTGAAATATATTTCGAATAAAAATGATCGAAAATATAGATATAAGTAAACCGATTTGTTTTTGTGCAATATAAAACTTGAAAATTTCTTTTATGAGAAAATATAATTGTAAAAAAATAGAAAAGCAAATAAATGACACATAACGTGAAATGTTTTGTTTTGAGAAAAAAAGTTTTTATCATTAACTAAGCCGACGACAATAGTTCTTATTTCTCGCAATCAATATTCATTCTTCAGTCCAGTCACATTCAACAATCTTCCCTTTTGATATAAGAAACAAACGAATACATACAAACAAGTTGATCAACATATGTAATGAACTCGATCAAGCTGACGTCTACAAATATGTTTCTATGGTTACGATTATAAGTCGTTTATATAATGTTTGCTGAATCTATCTTCTCGAATTACATAATTATACCGATACTTTTTATTCATTTTATTTGCAAAGAAAACACGTTGAACTATCGTCAATTAGATATTTATCTCTTCTACAGAAATAATTCAAAGAATGACTATGTTCATAATCGATCGTATATTATCATAAACCAAATTGTATTAATATTTGTTTATGTATTTGCTACATCAACACTATCACTTTTTTTCGTGAGATAACAGATGCTTTATTTGGACCATCCCTTGGAGTGTTCTCGGTGGATCTATTCGATATTGAATCTGAGTTCATTAGTAGTCCATTGTTAAATTAGTAACTTTCAAACGAAACATAAATTTAGATTTGAAAAAGATAAAAGTGATAAGAATTTTTCTTTATTTGAGATTCTATGTTACGTATTAAAGTATAAATATAGAAGAAACAATGATTAAGGAAATATAATTGATTTTCCAATGTCTTTATGTCTACAGAATCAAACTTAAGAGTGAGCTATTGATTAAAAATTGAATTTTTAAAATGTTTTTCATAGATAAATCATTTAGTAAGGGTGGGTATGTCTTTTCACTATGTCTCAATCACACCCACACCCACACTGTACACAAGAAGAAGGCATATATTGGCATCTACAGAGAAAAAACAAGCTGAATAATATGTAAGACGTAATATAGATAATTAAAGAATAAGCAAACGGTCAAAAAGCATGAGAAAAATCACCAATTGAGAAAATTAGCATCGAAATTTGATCCGTTGAGAGCGTGTAACTGTCGCCCTCGCTCATCTTAATACCCACACTCAAGAATTGCGAAAAAAGATTTTTATAAAAAAAAATGACGATCTGGCTCTCCTAAAAGAGATTGATTAATGAGTAATATTCTCAATTTATGAGTAGAATGTTATTTAATAGATAGAATTAAGTTTGTGAATTGATTTTAACAAGCCAATAAAACACTAACATCGTTACTCCATTCATTTGTGACAATAATGTCGAGTTTACCGTCATTATTAACATCAATCACGACCAAATCTCGTGGGTTGTTGCCAGTTGCGTAAGTTGTTTGTGCAGTAAACGTACCATTGCCAGTGTTGAGGAGAACGCAGGCATTGTGACTCTTATAGTTCACGACAATAATGTCAGGTTTGCCATCGTTATTAACATCGACCACTACCACATTCAGCGGGTGGGTTCCAACTGAGTAAGTTGTTTGTGCAGTAAACATGCCATTACCTGTGTTGAGAAAAACACTGACGTTGCTATCATCAGAGTTTGTAACAATAATGTCTGGGTTGCTGTCGCTAT